TATTTAAAATCCTTAATTCCTTCTCAAAAAAAAAATATAACACATCCTAATTACCAAGGCAGTGCATAAGTTCTCTTCTAAATCTAAAATTTCTTCTACTAACTCAACTTCTTAATATAAATAAATTCTTGATGGACAGACTACGAATTACTCACAAAATCTATAACACATCTCATTTTATGAGAGTATAAGTATTATGTGTTGTAAATAAATCTCCCAATTACTCTTCTTGGACCAATTCCAACGTATGATTATTCTCGGTTATTTAACTATCATCGGTCGAAATTCTTTAATTATAGGCCTTACTTCCTTCCATGGTCTATAATTCATAATTTCATTGCCAAATGTACTACTTATATGTTCACTTGGTCACTTCCTCCCTTTTTATAGATAGATTTCCATTCAAAGCAAATTTATTCTCAAAGTGGTTAAGGTTGCATCTAACATTGTTAGACTGCCTACGTACCCTTAAGCGGGATCAAGCCTTTCGTAGTTCACATTTCCAAAGTTCAAACCAAATCCGAATATATTCATTTAATCCAACATACACTACAATCATATTAATATTCAAACCATAGCAATTAGGTCTAAAAAACATAATTAGAATAACAAAGTTCGCATAAAAATACAATGTCGGCTCCCTGGTAGTGCGCCGCAGCACCAGCCACCACGACTCGCCGGAAAACTCAACTATTTCTAAAAATTCTCAAAAATTACATAAATGAAGATCTCAATGAGTAGATAAACTTTCATACCCTGAGACCAAGACCAATTTGGCCGGGAAACACCTTAAAATGGCCACGAACCATCGGAAACCCTTGTTTTTGGGTGTTCTTAATTTGTCTCCAAAACAACTCCGACGCCCCAACCAATGAATGGGCTTTGTTCTAGACCTCAAAAGGAGTCTAATGGTGGTATTAGTTTGATGGAATCGTTTCAGAATTGGGGGAAACGAAGGCACAGGTTCATCGCACCCACCGGTGTGGTTTTCCCAAATTCAAGGCCAAATTTCATGATCTTTGGGGTGTAATAGGAAAAGGGAAGGTTATGGAGGGTTTTACAATAGTTTGGTTGGTGAATTTTGCTGAAAAAAAAGGTGAAATTTCGTAAGAAAATCGAGCAAAACCCGATCGGGTCGGGTCACCCTTACACAGGGTCGCGGATCCTCCGTTCCCTCATTCTCTCCTTTCCTCTCCCGGTTCTCCCTCCCCATTGGTCACTCTTTCCCCAATTCATTCCCCCTTTTCCTCATTTATATTCTTTTCTTTTAATCACAACCATCCATCATTTATTTTTCTCTTTAATCACAACCACACACGTGGCACAACTCATGGCTCCAGATTTTTGGAGTCTTCTAAATGAGTTTAAATTTACCAAAATATCCCTGACTTTAAACGTTAATAACTTCTTCGTTAGAACTCCGTTTCACGAACGGTTTACGCCTACGAATTCGTGAGATCGAGCTTTATTTAAAAATATAATTTGTGACCTTGAAAAGTCTACGGATTTTAAATAATTAATGTCCAAACTTTAAATCTCGTAACTTGTCACATCCCGGCCCAGGGCGGACCACTTCCCGGGCCCGTTCCACTACCGTAGCACGATATTGTCCGCTTTGGGCCCCGACTACACCCTCACGATTTTGTTTTTGGGAACTCACTAGCAACTTCCCAGTAGGTCACCCATCATGGGAGTGACATGGCCTCCTTCTCGCTTAACTTCGGAGTTCCTACAGAACTCGAAGCCAGTGAGCTCCAAAAAGGCATCGTACTAGGTAAAGATGGGAATATACATTTAAGGATCACTCCCCTGGCGATGTGGGATGTTACAATCCACCCCCTTTAGGGGCCCGACGTCCTTGTCGGCACACGACGGCCAGGGTTAGGCTCTGATACCAAATTGTCACATCCCAGCTGGGGCGGATCATTTCCCGGGCCCGCTCCACCACCGTAGCACGATATTGTCCGCTTTGGGCCGACCACGCCCTCACGGTTTTGTTTTTGGGAACTCACACGAGAACTTCCCAGTAGGTCACCCATCATAGGAGTGCTCTGACCTCCTTCTCGCTTAACTTCGGAGTTCCTATAAAACCCGAAACCAATTAGCTCCCAAAAGGTCTCGTGCTAGGTAAGGATGGGTATATATATTTAAGGATCACTCCCCTGGGCGATGTGGGATGTTACATAACTAGTTTAATTTAAAACCAAACTCAAATAACTTAATATAAATTCTCAAAACTAAATAAAATCTCAATCATGAAAATACTTAAATTTTAATAATTTCCGAAAACCAAAACTTAAAAGTTCTTAATTAATTTCTCCATAACCATAAATCGATTCATTTCCGCTTTTCTCCACATTCCATAATTATGAATATATATAACTCATATATTTAAAATTTCAGGGTATTACACAACGTCTGCGTTCAATTGACGAGGAAGTTTGGAGAGGGTCATAGGAATTCAATCGAGTAATACTCATGTGTCATATCCCGGCTCGAGCCCCCACCACATTTCAGGCTCGACTCCACCGTAGCACGATATTGTCGACTTTAGGCCCTGACCACGCCCTCACGATTTTGTTTCTAGAAACTCACGCGAAAACTTCCCAGTGGGTCACCCATCATGGGATTGCTCTCGCGTGAACTCGCTTAACTTCGGAGTTTCGATGGAGCCCGAAGCCAGTGAGCTCCCAAAAGGCCTCGTGCTAGGTAGAGATGAGAATATACATATAAGGCTTAGAGGATCCACTCCCCTGGGTGATGTGGGATTTTACAATCCACCCCCTTAGGGGCTCGACGTCCTCGTCGGCACACTTCCAGCCAGGGATTGGCTCTGATACCAAATTGTCACATCCCAACCCGGGCCTGCACCACATCCCGGGCTCAATTCCACTGTGGCACGATATTGTCCACTTTGGGCCCCAACCATGCCCTCACGGTTTTGTTTCTGGGAACTCACTCGAGAACTTCTCAGTGGGTCACCCATCATGGGATTGCTCTCGTACGAACTCGCTTAACTTTGGAGTTCTGATGGAACCTAAAGCCAGTGAGCTCCCAAAATGCATCGTGCTAGGTAGAGATAAGAATATACATATAAGGCTTAGATGATCTACTCCCTTGGGCGATGGTTTTGTTTCTGGGAACTCACGCGAGAACTTCCCAGCGGGTCACCCATCATGGGATTGCTCTCGTGCGAACTCACTTAACTTCGGAGTTCCGATGGAACCCGAAGCCAATGAGCTCCCAAAAAGCCTCGTGCTAGGTAGATATGGGAATATACATATAAGGCTTAGAGGATCCATTCCCCTGGATGATGTGGGATGTTACATCATGTGTCACATCAGCACATTAACAAAAAATTTAATAGAATGTGATGGAATAACAAAATTAATTTGCCGGACCCATTTTCAAGGGACCAATATTTATTGGACCATTTTGATTAGAATGTCCCATTTCAAGGACCCAATCGTGATAAAAACCTTTTGTTTTTTCCTTTCATAAGTACATTATTGTTGTAAACTAATTTTAAGAGTGGGTGAGAGATAGGGACAACATAAAGAGAGAAAGGCTGAATTGTGTGTGAGAATTGTATTTCACACTATGACCTTATGCTATTATTTATATTTAATATGATGGGCTTTCTTGTCTTATAAATAAATATAAAGTCCACAAGGATCTCCAAATCCGGGATTCATACTTTAAATTTACACAATCACATTCCTTCCCCTTCACCTCCCCTTCTCTCTCACCTTTCTTTTTGTCTTTCTATAAAGAAGTCAACAAAATATATTGACGTGACTTAATCGTAACCGTTCATGTAGAATGAGAGAAATGAGGAATTTAGAAGGGAGATAATCCTACTCCTATAATAATATTGTCATTAAGTTGGTGAAAATGGAGAAATGTGAGGAATCATAGGTAATTACTTGGTAAAGAGTTTTATTTTGGGGTGTGCTATCCAGATATTTCATTTTACTTCTTACACACCCCTTGTTAATTTCTATCTGTTTATTTTATTCAATTCATCTAATCCGACGATCGAAAATTAAAAGAGTGTGTGAAAAATAAAATAGGATGTGTGAATATCACACATCTTTAATTCTTGTTTCCCTTTCTATCTTATATTCTTTTTCGTTGAGTTTGTTTTCATGTCTCCATCGTTGGTACTTCTGCTTTCTCTAATTAGGTATCAATGGTACATGGATGGCTAGAAGTTTCCTAATACGGGCTAGGTTCCTCCTCCTTTTGCTTTATACGAAATTGCAAATGAAGAGTAACTATTCTATAACTGTACAATGACCTAACTCCGACATGTACTCCAAAGTCTTTATCATCTTTGTTGTTTTATTTTTTTTTTTGGAACAAGTGATGTTATCTACATTAAGAGGAGATGATGAGTATAGTTTCATAATGAATTAACAATAATGTGATACAAATTCGCACTTGACGAGAATCGACTTAAGAAAAAACCTATATCCAATTAAGAAAAACTCTATAGAAATTCTTTTAATTTGGACGGTTGGTATAACGGACTTGGATTGTCTGCCCTCCTAGTTGTGGTGCCTTCCATGCCTTCCTATTTTGTGCGATCACGGTTAAACCACGTCAATATTTTATATTAATTTTTTAATAAGATAATAAGACAAAAAATAATTAAAATATAAAATATTAACGTGGCTTAACCGTGACCGCACAAAATAGGAGGGCATGGAAGGGCACCACAACTAGGAAGGCAGACAATCCTTCTCCTGTTATAACACACGAACGGTTGGATTACATACAACACAAGAATATCTGTGTTTTACCAACTTCTTATCCACAAAAAAAAAAAAAAAAAAGAGTCCAACTTATACTAGTCCACATTTACCAATATGTTGACCCCGAAAATCGAGCGTGGATTTTTATTTACCAATCCGCATTTACCGAAATATTATCCAAGGACAAAATTTTATGTATACCAAGAAAAATTTATAAAATCTGGAGTCACGCGCGCGTCAAGCAGTGGAAGGTGGCACTTGCCTATAAAAGCAAGACGAACGGCACGCCCGACCCCGTCCTCCTGTCCAACGCCCTCTGTCTCTCTGCTAAAAATAGCCATTAAAGCTCGAAGAGCTAATTTTCCAAGATACCCAGAAAAAAGATTGAAGCTTTGAAGGAAGGATAGTAGTAAGACTGAAAGCACTTTCTGTGCCGAACTTCTGCGTTTCTCTTCACGGTAGGCCTGTAATTTTTGTTTTTTTTTTTACTGTTTTTTCTTTTTTGGGTGCATTTGTTCTTGAAGTTCACCTTGGTTCTCTGTTGAGCTGAAAAAACTTGAAGGGGACGTTGAAATGGTAGTGAAATTTGTGGGTTTTGGGTTTTGTGGAGGATGTTTGTGTGGTTTGATTTGTTGAGCCGCAGATCTAGCTTTGTTTCTGTTTGCAAGTTTGTCAATGTTTGGATTTTTGGGCTTGTTTGGTTGCTGGGAAAGTGGTTTGGGGAAAGAGAAAAGGGAAATGCTTGGGAAGTTTGTTTGTTTTAGAAACAATTCTCAAGCATTTGCCTTTATCACAACACAAAAATGGTGTCTTTTTTTCTTGTGGGGATGTGGATAAGGTGCCATAGTATTGAATGCTTGGTTTACATTGATCTGATACTAGGTTGTAGGCCAAGAGATGTGAGGCTTCTGGGGTTTTCTTTGACTCAATCCTGTTCAATTCCACGATAGGTTTGTGAGATATGGTTTCTAAGCGCATGTTAAGGTTGATAAAACTGTTTAGGAGCATGTAGGTATGCATCTTCGTCTTTTCAGGGTTTATATTTTGTTATGTATCGGAATTTTATTATGATTTGCTTTGACTGTTGTACTTCACCTCATGCTGGAGGGGTTTCCCACAACTTTGAGGGTAGTAGTGAGATGTATAGGCTTGAACAAGGTTGATCAGCTAAGTGTGATATGCCTTGAATCGCGGTTGGTTGAATCCCTTATTTCAGATCTGTGTCTACTATGGAGCTGGGGTGAGAGAAAAACCGGAAAATATTGTTGATTTTTGTGTTGTTCTTGATGGAGGGTTTGGGGTTGGTTCAGTTTCCTCGTCAGTAGCCATTGTTTTTCTTTCGCTGTTCTATAGTAATTTAGATTGCTCTGTTGAAGTTGAGGAATTCTTGCCGTTAATTGTGTTGTTGGATCTCAACTCCAACATAACTGTTTGTGTACAACAGTTTCCGGTGGTACCTGTTACATAAGCCTATATGATTAGGAAGCAAAGCCTAAATTGGCAGAAAACTACGTCCAAGGTGCTACGATAGGGTGCTATTTGTAGTTACTGTTGTATCTGAATTGGTTTCATTTGTCTCTCACAACGTGATCATGCATACTATTCTTTCTTGCAAGCAGTTGTCTTGTCTTCCATTTGTTAGATTTTCTTTGTGATTGTTTTGCAAGGTAGAACATCAGATGAGGGAGCTTCAGAAAACTCTTTTTACTAAACTGGTTTCATTTGTCTTATCTTTTGCAGTATTGGTGAAAAAAACAAATTAGAAGAACCGAAAAATGGCGTTGCAGCAATTCTTTGCACACGAATGCAAATCCATCGCCGGAGAAACAACAGAATCAGAAAATTCCAAAGGTGGCTTTGACTGCAACATCTGCTTAGACTTTGCACACGAGCCAGTGGTCACCTTCTGTGGCCATCTATATTGCTGGCCTTGCATTTACAAATGGCTTCACGTTCAGAGTGCGTCCCTTGCCTCCGATGAGCGCCCTCAGTGCCCTGTTTGCAAGGGTGATATATCACACACTACCATGGTCCCACTTTACGGCCGGGGCCTAGCAACTTCTGAACCTGAGCTTGAAGGAAAGGTGGCACTCTACAGGGGAATGGTAATACCTCCCAGACCATCAGCATGCGATGCGCAAGCTCTCATATCTAGCACCTCTCAGACGGTCCAGCAACTCCCGTATCGTAACCCTTATCAGAACCAACAGTATAACCCTCATCCATACAGCAGTTTCGGGGAACATTCTTCCTCGCCGCTGCTTGACCTCGGAGGCACTGCAGTGGCAGGTATCCACCATCCAGCGGTTGGGGTGTTTGGGGAAATGGTTTATTCAAGGGTGTTCGGAAACTCGCAGAGCGTATATGGGTATCCCAATTCGTATCACCTAACCGGAAGTAGTACTCCGAGGCTGAGGAGGCATGAGATGCAGGCAGACAAGTCACTAAACAGAATATCTATTTTCCTCTTCTGTTGCTTGCTTTTGTGCCTTCTTGTCTTTTGAAGTTTAGAGATTTGGTCATTCTATTTCTGCTGCCATTTTGTATACTGTATAATTAACGCTTGGGAACATAGATAGATGAAATTAGATGTGAAATATATGAGGTAATAGTAATCCTAGAGATTTTATTCAGAATCATCCTTAATTTTGGTTTTATCATTGTCTTTTTTTACGTCACGGATTCGAGAAAAACGTGGATGTCACCGAAGATATATCCTTATCCGCCTCAGGAGATGCGCCCCCTATAGACAGATGGGGATACATCCCCCAGTGATACGTAAGAATCTCTCTGTTGGTACCAAAGAAAAAGACGGGCATCCAAGATTGCTATTTTAAGTGCGTCTAGGCAAAAATTAGAGATTACGTTAACGTATGACCAATATTACGGAATATAGGAAATTTCATTTTCAAATCAAAGTATAATTAATTAAATTAAAGAGGAACTTAAAAGCTGGTTTTAATAAGTGCTTTTGGGAGGGAGGCGGGTCCATACTAAATAGCCAACAATTATTTTAGCGGGAAAATGATCATCGTTGGATTCTTTTTTTAGAGATCTTGTAATCGTGTCCGTTCATCGTATACGATGAACGGACATAATTTCTGACTGCATGATATACGATGAACGGACATAATTGCGGGATCTCTATGATCCCTAAGAAAAAAATCTGGCGAGAATCCTTTTCCTTCACAATGGGTCTCTTTTAAGCCAACTTGGTCACATGCCGTGCAGGCTTACAGCTAGAAATTATAGAGATTTTATTCAGAAGTATCCTCAATTTTGGTTTTATCATTGTCTTTTTAAACATCGCTGGTTTGAGAAAAACACAGGTGTCACTGAAGATATATCCTCATCCGCCGTATAGACAAATGGGGATACATCCCCCAGTGATACGTAAGAATCTCTCCGTTGGTAGAAAAGAAAAAATGGAGGCATCCAATATTGCTATTTTAAGTGCGTCTTGGCAAAAATTAGAGATCACATTAATGTATGACAAACGTTATTCAATAATCTTAGGAAAATTCATTTTCAAATCAAATTATAATTAAATAAAGATGTACTTAAAAGCTGGTTTTAATAAGTGCTTTTGGGAGGTAGGCGGGTCCATACTAAGTCCCAATTACAATAACAAATCAGCCCTAAATAGCCAACAATTATTTCACTGTGGGTCTCTTTTAAGCCAACTTGGTCAATGGTCACATATAATGCAGGCTTACAGCTAGAAATTCTATCCCCGGTTGTAACAAGAGGCCAAGCCTATGAGGGTTTTTTCAAAAGTGCTTTTACCAATCCAATCAGCCAGACAACCTCTATATATTGCTTTTGGTGAGTCCTGACACATTTTAATGATTGATTCCATTTTTTGGTGTGTTCACCAATAAGAACGGGGGAGATTGGGGTGGGTGGTGGTAGTGGAGCCAGAAACTAAGGAGAATTCAATAGTAAGATAGGGGAATAAGAAATGAATCACTGCTCGAGTGATTAACCGGGATTGCAGTCTGACATGAATACACAAATATTTAGTTCAAACTACAAAATGTGAATTGTATGCACATCTGTCTATAAAATGAGAAATGTATGCACGTCTTTCAATTTTTGGTAAGAAAAAATGACTTCTTACGTGTACTATGTCTACTCACTTGTCGTATTTTCGCGGCACCCTTATATAAGTTGTTTCATGCATGATTGACGATGGGTGCATGCATTTCACCCCATAAGTTATTCCATCAACCTCAATTCGGCAGGTGGTCATGAAAGTCCTGGCAATTGGTTCACCTATTCCCATCCACTTGCCCGCTGAAATGAACAACAACATTGATTTGGTTATATTCAACCTAGAAACATTAATTTGAATCATCTTTAGACCTCACTGTCTGGAGCTCAAAGACTAGGAAATATAGACAGTTTCAAAGAGAGAGAGAGAGATCCAAGCCCTTGGTTTGTGTGAGGTTGACCAGCGGAATGAGTTTATGATAATCGTCAAATTCAATTTAAACGGTCAAAATTTCCTGGTCCTTAGATTCCATACTGAAACTTAGAGAGGATCTCAACTCCAAAAACATCATCTTCAACATTATTTTTTATTACCAATCCCTAATCAAAAGCTGTTGGCCAAACCAAGAAACTTTTTGCGTCACTAACCACAATGTCCAAAACAAATTGACTCTTATGTTGCTACAACAAAATAGTTGTTTTACTCTTAACATCGAGAAATTTCTACGGTGTAACTAAAGTATACATAATGCATAACAAGAGAAATATTAATAAAAGAATAAACAACCGATTATATGTCAAAACTTCTCATAATTTTAAATCCAAGAATCTTATATGATCCTCAACCGAAAGGGCTTGTAACTTTGTGATGATGAAATTAGATCGTGGTGGACACAGAGATCCGTGGTTGAATGTGCATCCCCAAATGTGTCTAGTGTGATGATAACGTCGGTGTGGTGGTGTCTGTCGTCAATTTGGGCACCCAAAACCCAACTTTGAATCATCCCTTGGCATAAAACGTTAACTTTACACATCCCATTTGATTTGATATTGCAATCTTTACTTGATGCCAATGTGGGGTAGTGAGTGATATGCATCGATAAGGGTTGTCTATTTGATTTGCTTGTCAGCTGCCATTTGTTTTAGGTCCACTTAAGTTTGTCGTTTTACACTACATTGCATCAATTATTAGATATTTGACCTAATGATCTGTCGTGTTTTAACATATGTTGTGTTATGTTATAATATCATGCAAAATTATTCCGCTCAACTTAAACTCGATCCATGGACTCATGCCAGAATGTATAAAAGTATACCCATTTGTAAGTTATGTGGATGCATCATATCGTGCTTCACCTACTTACCTATTAAGTGTTTAAGCCCAATATATTTATTTGTACTACTAAGACATGTGGTTTAGGTCCACTTATTTTTGTTGTTTAACATTCAAGCGTTTAATGTCGTAAACATGTCATGTTCGTATTATGTTAAGAGCACTACATGCGCATCAAATATGGAAACTACTAGACCTGACAACATGTCATGTTCGTATTATGTCATTGTACTACATGATATGTGTTTATATCCATTTAACATTTGACTGCATCAAATAGTAAATCTTTCCAGTATCGTTTTAAAATTGCAAAGTGCCATTTTCATGTCGTATGAGATTATATTTAACTACTCTCATGAACTTAACTTATCTAAACATATAAATATAAATCATTCACTATTTATTTTTTTGACAAACTATAGAATAATTTGGTGAAAAAACAAATGCTCTTAAGCAACAGATACATCGTCTTTTTTCACCCGTTTACCAATAGGATTTAGCCACAATAAATTATTATTTACGACATGTGTTTAGGTCCACTTATTTATTGTGTCGCTTGACATTCTGAACTAATAAGGATATCAAAAATTAGAGTGGGCCTCTTATAATTATACCAGCGTTTGAAAATCACAACATATTTAAGACCGGCCCACTCAACCACCTTGAAATTTATGTCCTTTTATTGGTCAATGAGATTTATGTTATATTATTAAGCTGAAAGAGTTATAGACCTGAATCCCAATTTTCTTTCCATTTCATTTTTATTTTTTTTATAGGACTAGCTGGTGGCTTTGTCACGACAGTCTATTCTTTCGAGGGCCAAAAAGACTCACAAAGTCATATCAGCATATCCAACTATTCATATCAAGCTTTTGTACTTGTCTACAACAATTGATTCATCCCGTGACGGTTTCTTTCAATTTCATTGAATGATATTAATAAGCTATTGTACGCTTGTACTTAACAACCGTCTACATTAAGAAAGATGTTTTAATTATACTTGTCTACAAGTTAATAATTATTTGTATGGCCAAGCGATGGTCAAGACTCAAAATTGCCTTGGAAATAATTTCGCAAAAGAATTGTTATTGACTCCACAGTAATTTTTTCTCTTTAAAAAAGGGAAACATCTTGTCGCTTCATCACGATAGTTCACTTTTTTTAGACCGGAAAGACTCACAAAGATATACCAGCATATCAAACTCTTCATATCAAGCTAGTGTGTGATTTATTTATTAGCCCCATGAATCAAACTCAAAATGTACGGTATGAAATACAAATCCAAAATAGGAAAACTAATGAAAATGATTTGAAAACTTTGAGTTTTAATGATAATGACATAATAAAGGGTAAAGTGAATAGTACAATAATTGACTTTTTAGTATAAAAATATGGTTTTTCGTTAAAGTAAACAGTATCGGAAGTTTTTTATTAAAGTTCTCATCTAAAATTTGTTCCCCATGACTTAACCGTCCTGTGGTGGTTACACTCCACAGTAGTTAACTTGAAAAAAGTAGTCTCGAGTGACAGTCCGTCGAACAAGGGACAGCGGCTGGGTGGTGAGTGGGCCTATTGGCCCAGAAAGAGAGTATGAGAGAGATGGGCCTCAGTATGCTTATTCTAATGGTAGTAAAAGGAGGGTGAGGCCCATATATGGTCGTAATTTATGGACATGGATTATCTCACGATCCAATTGTCTTAATTCTAGGGATCAATGAAGCTAGACCATTGAAATTTGATCCAACGGCTACAAATAGGGGCTCATTATAAAAGTTATAATAACTTTAACCGTTTGATCAAATTTTAATGATCTAGATTTATTGATCCCTAGGATTAGGACAATTGGATCCGAAGATGATCCATGTCCGTAATTTATATGCTTTTTCTAATGCAAATCAAAATGTACATTTAACTTATAAATCTAAACGTGAGCTGTAAGATTATTTAACTTTACGAAATCTAACGGCTCTTTCCGATAAGTAAGTTAACCGCGCACTTCTAATGTACATTAGAAAAAATTCATTAGTTTTTGCAGCATCCATATATCTGGTACGTTTTGTTTAATGATTAAGCTTTGTTTGGCATACTGTATTGAAAAATATTGAGACTAAGTCCAGTTACGTGTCGTAGATTATATGATCCAAAAACAAAAACTCACATAGATTTCACTTTTGGAATGTTCAATGACTTTTTTAAGCACCATCCGTTTTTTAATGGGAATTTTTAACGAAACACTTCCGGTACTGTTCATTTTTAACGAAAAATCACATTTTTACCTTTCTCTAGTACTATTCATTATACATTTATTTGTCATTTTTCATTAAACCTAAAGTTTTTTTGGACTTTTAATTAGGTTTTTTTTTTTTTTTTTTTAAATTTGAAACACATGACCAATATTCCACGCAGAATTGCTCACTCAAATATTATAAACAAATGCTGATTAGTTAAAACAATCATAGTAAAAACACTAAATACCACCCATTGTAAGTGAGAGGTTTTAGGTTTGATTCTCACCAAAAATCACATTATTGTTAGCCCATTGTGATGCTAAACCCCCATCTCCCTTAATATAATCTATATAGATAATATCTTTTGTTTAAAAAATTTTAAAAAAAACACTAAACATACAATTTTTATAACTCATTCCATGTCATTGTCCATAGCTTTCCATGAACTTATGTTTGATACAAGCAATAATAAGAAAGGTGGATCCGATGATGAAACCTCGAAGATAAACGCTCTTAACTCAACAATTTTCAGCTAAGGTTGGAATCAGATTAAAAAAAAGAAAGAAAGTAGAATTTAAGTTCAAGTCTCAATATGTATCTCCCCTGGTGTTACTGGTTTTTTTGTACCCTAGACTAACCTTAAGGCATTTTAACCAAAATGGTCAATGAAATTTGCATAACTCTTCACTTTGATCCCTAAGATTTGAAATCAATATAAGTGGTCCTTGAGTTTGTCAACCACCAATCATTTTGGTTATTTCATGAAAAATTATTTTAAATAAGGATCAAAATAACAGAAATACTCTATTATAAAACAATGTCAAAATGATTTGACAAAAATTCAAGGTATTTTTGTCATTTTATTATCATTAATGGAGATTTTCATAGAATGACTAAAATGATTGATGGTGGACAAAACTTAGGAACCACTTATATCGATTTCAAATCTCAAGACCAAAGTGAAAATTTATGCCAATCTTAAGAACTATTTTGACTAAAAAACCCTAACCTTAATTCATCAAAGCCTACTATATTAGTCTTTGGTTTTATATTGTAATTTTTAGAAAAGGATCCTCTTCGGATCCTTTTTGTGGGGATTCGAAGGATCAATCAATCACAACTGTTCATCGTACATCGTGAAATTTAAAATTATTTTTGATCGTATGATGTACGATAAACGGCCAGGATTGATAGATGCCCCGAATCCCCACATAGAAGATCTGGAGAGGATCATTTTCCGTACTTTTTGATATGCTAATCTCATGACTGTGTAGGAACCCGGCTTCTCTGCTCTCCCAGTTCTCATACACTCCCATCCCCTTTTATTTTGTGCGGTCACGGTTAATCAACGTGAATATTTTATATTGATTTTTTTTATAAAGATAATAAGACAAAAAATAATAATGATATAAAATGTTGACGTTACTTAATTGTGACCTCACAAATAGAAGGGGATGAGAATTGGAAGGGCAGAGAAGCGAAGTCCGTCTGTAAGCTGTTTAAAGCACTGTATCTGATTTCTTCAATCAATACCACTTTAATATAATAAAGTAGATTAAAATATCGTTTTTACATATAGAAAAATTTAAAGAAGTACTAAGAGGACTCTTAAGAGATCCTCTCCGAATCTCTCCTTCCAAAGATCAAGGATCAAGTGATTCGGACCTTTAAAAATTTGATCAAATGACAAAAAATTATTATAGCTTTTAAAAGTTTTTACTAATTTCTCTATTTTTAGCCCTTAGATCAAATTTTAAATGTCTGGATCACTTGATCCTTGGGTTTTGAAAGGAGAGATTTGAAGAGGATCTCTTTCTATCTTTTTAAAAGTAAAATTTTACGTACTCTCTTTTACTTTATGTTTTTTACACAATGTTTTATAATATTAGCATAAAATTGATGTTAAACTGTGAGGGAACAGAGAGTTCATGAAAAGTCCAACTTTTGGGAGAGTTCCCTCATTTCTAAAAAATGTATTCAAATCAAAATTTTTTGCACACGACTCTCAAGTGATAATAATGTTTACCACCTTATTTATTATCTTTGAAAGAGTTTAAATTTCGTGAACTACGTAATACATAGATCTCGAAATTATCCTAGAAATCTTTAAATCGTCTTCGTTCATCGTATATCGTACAGTCAGAAATCATTTTAAATACTTTTATTTAAAATTAAATATGAATAATATCTGATAAAAACTGATAATACTATGTATAATAAACAAACACGATTTAAAGATCTCGAAGATCCCCACAAAAAGATCGATAAAAGATCCTCATTCGCAAAAATACACCTGAAACTCTGCCAGATTGTTCCAAAAATGGGTCAGAGTTCGCGGCCTTTCGGTTATCCTTGCAATGTTTGAATAACTTGGGGTAGGTGGGGTGGCGGGGTTACCATCGGGGTGACCGATGAGTACACAATCATTCAGTGCACCCAAAACCCTAAAATTTCCTCTTTTATTTCTCCCAAGGATTTTCTATACACCACTACTTGAGTTTTTATTATAAACGAGTCTTATGGTCATTACCTAATTGGATTTTCAAGTATTGTGTACTAATTTAGATGTTTAGTCAAGTCAATTAGTAGAAATTTTGTTTGACCATATAAACTATATTTCTATTAATCTAAAATTAAAGAAATTATCTTATTTTTTGAAATATCAAGATCATTCTCAATTTCAATTGTAACAGCAATTAGGGGTATATATGTAAATCCCAGAACATAAATTGTTACACAATATTATCTAATTGAGGATCTTATCTGTATATGATGCCCATTAAATAAATTATAGGAAAAGATGTGTTGACGACAATAACATCCCGACTTCATATTGCTTGTTGTGGTAAGAGAACTAGAATAAACAGTACAACAACAACAAAATGCAAGATTATTTACTTCACAACGCTTTGACATCCACACCAAATAGTACTAAATTGTTTTATGATGTTCTAAATCCAAGTCTTGTACCGGTTTAACTGGCAAACTGCGCAGTCTAACCCTTAGAACATATACTATAGTACCATATACGAGAATAACTCCCAAATGGGCGAGGTAAATTTATTGTAATACGTTGTTGTATCCTTGCTAGTATTTCTCTTTATAACCTACAATTACGAGTACAATTTTTTTTAATCCGCCACTTGTCATTGTCCCACATGAGAAAAATGAATTTATATGCCTCCATCTACTTTTGTTACATAAAAAAAAAAAATTGCTAAATTGGGCTTTTTGGGGAAGTTGCATGAACTTGAGAAACTTAAAGAAAGAGCAAAGAATTTAAAGAAAGAGCAAAGAAAAAGAAAGCTAAAAGGAAGCAGTCCACGTTCCACGCCATTAGCTAGTAGTTTCCAAAAGCTCATGGCATAAATAAGAGGCTGGCAGAGTGTAGAATATTTTAGGAACTCTCTGGAAACAAAAGTTTCAAAAGCTAGCTAGCCAGCCATACATGGCTGAAACTTCTTCCCGAACAAGAAGCGCCGCCCCGTTTCTGTCGAAGACGTTCGATCTGCTAGAAGAACAAGATGTCGGAGGAGATGATGGTGGGAAGAGGAATACTGTGTCATGGAATGTAGAGGGCACTGGATTTATAGTATGGTCTCCTGCTGATTTCTCAGAGCTCCTGTTGCCTAAATATTTCAAGCACAACAATTTCTCCAGCTTCATTCGCCAACTTAACACCTATGTGAGTCGCCCACCCTTATCTTTTTATTTCAACCATTTCCGTCTATCAGATTTGAACTCAGTACTTCGTCTATTTGCTTTAATTATACAAAGAATGTATATACATGGAAAATTATATCTATGTTATATATTTAAGGTTTAGAAAGCTTTTAGAAAATTTATTTATTATTTTTGGTTATTTCTGATCACTTGATCAAGAACCCAGTATTTCATAGATAAAAGAAAAAACATCTAGGGTTTGAACCATCACTACCAGAAATATCATTTGACCGATGAACGGTATTTTGTTGGGCAAACAACCTTTACCCGCCGGAATACTAACGTTTGTCGATCAGCAAAAAGGGTCAATGTTTTGATTTCTGCAGAGGTTTTTGCATTCATTGATCTACTCGTTCAAAGCATTGAGTGATCTACTCATTCAAAGATTTCATGGATTGAAGACGATGGTTATCTTTGTTGCGTATACCTCTCTCCCTGTACAACAGTAGTCAACGAGAATATATAAACTATTGTGAAAGTCAAAAACTTGTGAGAGTTTTAATTGGTCAAAATAATCACACTCCAGACTGCAATAGTTTTGAGTTACGTGAACAATAATAAAGCATAAACTTCTACCCACCATGAGAAAAACCTGGTGCAACTGCATATTTACTCTCATATGTTTTTTTTAAGACATTTTAGCTAAACTAGTCTCTGAAATTACATAAAGATTTGACTTCCATAAAAGTGGTATTTATGTTTGTCCACGGTCAATCATTTTAATTATTTAACAAAGATTTTTCATAAAGTGGACAAACTTAGAGACCACTTCTTCGATTTTAAATCTCAATGATCAAAATAAGAAGTTATGTAAAGTTAAGGTACTATTTTAGCTAAAAAGTCTTTTTAAATCTCTTGTTACTTAATTCGATGTGACGTGAGAGAGGCAAAATAAAAATTTTCCCTAGAATCCCCAAGATAGATCCATTTGATTAATTAGGAAGCATTAGCAGCAATGGTCAAATTTGGTTTTGGAATAAACAAGTGTAGTCGTGGTAGGTACCCTTTGTCCTTTTGCACGAATAATTTTGTCTAAAATACCATACTCCCAAAAGAAAATTGTTTTCTTAATCGAATGACAAGGATTTTAGTAAATTTTGTTGTGCGTCTAGTCAAAGCACTTGTGTATGTTTTTTATGGGGTAGAGATCCTCTTTGACTTGTGTATGTTTTTTTATTGGGAAGAGGATCTCTTCCATCAAAACTCACTAATCAATTAATTCGAGTTTTTGAAATTTGATTAAATGGTTACAAATAAGAGGCATTTAAAAAAGTTATAATAATTTTAAGTTGTTAGATCAAATTTCAAAGGTCCAGATTAATTGATTGGTGAGATTTGGTGAAAGAGATCTGAAAAGGATCTCTTCCCTTTTTTATTTAGCATCTCAAATATGCGAGAAATTTTTTCAGTATGCTGAAAACACGACTTGATACACTAAGTATTACTACTGATTGGAAATTTTGTTTTTTCAAGTTTTCAACCAATTATATTATTACACTTAATGTACCAGGTCGTGTTTTTGACGCACTAAAATGTCTCTCCCAATATGCCCTTAATCCCATTTGGATGCGCTACATATATCAAGGTTTTCTTCTCTTTTATCTCATAACTCGGACGGGTTACAGTACACTCAACCCTAGGGTTGGTTTGTATTCGCTTATGAGCAAAAGCACTTCCTATAAAAGCATTTCCGATCATGCATTACATTATTCAAAAGTTTGGCAATTCAATTTGTGATTCTAACCCTCAAACCCAAAAGCAGGGATTCAAGAAAACATCACCAAAACTGTGGGAATTTAAGCACGAAAAGTTCCAAAAGGGCTGCAGGCACATGCTAGTTGAGATCACCAGGAAGAAATGCGAACCAAGTGCTTTTCCAGCGTATCTGAAGGCTTCAGAAGAGAGTGAGAGCACAAGCACTGCACTGGCAGCAGCAGAAGAAAACAATTGCCTGCTATTAATGGAGGAGAATAAGAACCTGAGAAAACAGCAGTTGGAGCTGCAGGTGCAAATAGCTCAGTTCAAAACCCTGGAAAATAAGCTGTTGGATTGCGTAGCCCAGTACATGGATGACCATCGGAACAAAGCTCGATGCTGATTGTTACCATAACTGTTGATTTGGTCGACACAAATTGGTTAGGTTTTAAGGGATCTGTATCTTGGATCTTGGGTATCATATAAACATGCTGCCTTTTTTCTGCAGTGTTTGTTAGCTTTTGGTGTCAGGGTTTTGTAATTAGGAAAATAATCATCAAGCGGAACCGAATTCACGAGAAACTTTTTGATGTGATGGTCACAATGCTACGTTAAGTTACTAATCTTGTAATATGTCATGTGACATCATTTCATCGTACAAACGTTATAGCACTGATTGAAATTGTTCATATTTTACATCATTATCTAAAGATCATTTCCAGGCAGATCTTTCAAATTGAAGGCCGTTTAGTCATCCATGTGAATCAAATAAATTAAAGACTAATTATGACAATACTACACATTTTCATAACTGTTAATTTGTTCGACATATATAAATGATTAAACGGTTTTCAAATCAAATGAATTTTTTACAGAGAGATTGTATTTAGATGATACGGTAATGAAGATGAATTTTTACTAAAAAGGCCCAATTTCAGAAACATTAGGCCCCTTTCCTCCAAGAGCCCCCCTTCATTTTTATTTCTCTGGTTCTTCTCCCCCAACTCCAAAAACCCTAAACCCCAAATCATGGTTCCGAAGCTCTTCGCCAGAACCCTAATCCGAAATGCGATGGCGAGCAGGTCCTACTACACGAGCAGGACCAAGAAGCCGACCCTCTACAACAAAATCAGCCCGCTCGGAAACCCTAGCTTGAATGTGGTTCCAGAGCTCGACGACTGGGTCTACAATGGCAACAAAGTCCGAGTCGCCGAGCTTCAGCGCATCATTCACGACCTCCGAAAGCGGAAACGCTTCTCCCAAGCCCTCCAGGTTTCCATCTTTCTCTCTTCCCTTGCAATTTGTGTTATCCCCTGTTTGGTTGCTCAGAAAATTGAAAGAAGCATCAAAGTAATTAAATTTTAGTTAAAGAAAGTGAGCAAAAGAGGGAATTAGGATTTTTGTTAGTTAATGTGCTTGTTTGTATCAAAAGTAATTGGAAATTCCTCTGCTTTCGTAGTAACGTGTTACAGGTTGCAGATTTCAGAGTGGATGAATCAGAAGGGGGTATGCATATTTTCGCCGGTTGAGCATGCCGTGCAGCTGGATTTGATTGGGAAGGTACGCGGGTTTGATTCCGCAGAAGAATATTTCAATAATTTGAGGGACGAAGATAAGAACATCAAGACGTATGGTGCTCTTTTGAATTGCTATGTCCGGCAGCGCCAAGTGGATAAGTCCCTCGCTCATTTGCGCAAAATGAAGGGGATGGGATTTGTTTCCTCGCCTCTTACTTACAACGACATCATGTGTTTGTATACGAATGTTGGCCAGCACGAGAAGGTCCCGGGCGTTCTTGCTGAGATGAAGGAGAACAATGTCCCTCCGGACAACTTCAGCTATAGAATCTGCATCAATTCGTATGGCGTGAGGTCTGATCTTGAAGGAATGGAAAAGGTTTTTAAAGAGATGGAAAGCCAGCCTCGCATTGTCATGGACTGGAACACGTATGCTGTCGTTGCCAATTTCTATGTTAAAGAAGGCCAAACCGATAAGGCAATGAATGCTTTGAAGAAGTCGGAAGAGAGGCTGGATAACAAAGACGGACTTGGCTACAATCATCTGATTTCGCTGTATGCGAGTATGGGAAGTAAGGGTGAAGTTTTGAGGTTATGGGGTGTTGAGAAGAGCGCTTGTAAGAGATGCATAAACAGGGATTATATGGGCATGTTGATGTCTCTGGTGAGGCTCGGTGAGCTCGATGAAGCTGAGAAGGTGATGGAGGAGTGGGAATTGTCTGGAAACTGTTACGATTTTCGGGTGCCACAAACTGTCATTACAGGCTACACCGTAAAGGGATTGTACGAGAGAGCTGAAGCTCTGCTTGAAGACTTGATGGAGAAGGGAAAGGCAACCACAGCGAGAAGTTGGGAAACAGTGGCGGCGGGGTATGTGAATAAGGGTGAGATGAAGAAGGCTTTTAAGTGCTTGAAGGTGGCCCTCCGTCTGTCTTCCGAGAAAAGATGGAAGCCGAACCTCGGAGTAGTGACACTGACAACCTTATTGAGTTGGCTTGGTGACGAAGGCAGTGCTGAAGATGCGGAAGCTTTTGTTGGGGCATTGAGGAAAGTCATCCCGGTGAACAAGCACATGTATCATGCTTTGTTAAAGGCATATGTAAGAGACGGTAAAGAAGTGAATAGTGTTTTGGATCGAATGAAAGCTGATAAAATAGACGGCGATGGCGAAGAGACAGAGAAAATCCTCGCCATGAGAGAATACTAGTTTCTACATAAGAATATTTCAATGGCAATGGCGATGGCGAAGAAATTATTATCCCAAGACAAGTACGAAGCCACGGTCTCCCTCCGCCCATTGTCCCCAGTTTCAACGGTGACAACAAGAGAACATTTCCGGAACAGGTTTTCGCCGGTTAGAACATCTCTGGAAGCTTAGGGCCGTAGTGAAAGTCCTGCGAAAATAGATTTTATGACGGTTTCTGTGGAGTTTCACAAAATCGATTAAAAACCGTAGAACAATTTCTGTGAAAAACGCAGTTGTTGAGATTTCGTAATATTTTTTGCGTGTGCTGTGACATTGTTATAACCCATGAAAGCAATGAATATGTTTACAAATTGAAGGATGTCATTCGAACCGGTCTACCTTTTTTCAGCTATTGGATTGAATAAATCAACAAAAAAATACGTGACAAAATTAAGCAGAAGCGCAAACGGTACTGAAAAATTACTTCCTCCAACAATTATTTCGACCAGATGATTACACAAGAAAACGTATATGAAAGTGTATGGTAAGAAAGCACCTCAAGCAAACTGGAATGTGTCTAATGTCAGCAGACACTTCATCAGATTAGGAAAACCACGATTGTTTGATAAAACGAGACTGCGCTTCACTCTGTAAGGGTAGATTTAAGCTCTCCGTTGCTTTTCAGCTCCATCACGATATCACAACCTCCGATCAGCTCACCTTTGTAATAGAGCTGAGGAAAGGTTGGCCAGTTCGAGAAGACTTTAAGCCCCTGCCTCACATCCTCGTCGGATAAAATATCAAAGGACCCAAAACTCACACCCTCTTCTCTAAGGGCATTCACGACCTTGGAACTAAAACCGCATCTGGGAGCATCGGGTGTGCCCTTGATGAAGACCATCACTTGTGAAGAAGTAATCAATTTCTTTAAACGATCTTCAAGAGTATCTTTCGGAACAATCCCTTTCTCTGCCAAAACCTTCTTGAGCTCCCCACTCCTTTGCATCTCCAATACAATATCTGATCCACCAATAAGTTCACCTTTGATGTATAGTTGAGGATAACTGGACCAGTTTGAATAAACTTTGAGCCCTTGACGGACTTCATCATCAGAGAGAATATCAAAACTCTCAAAGTCCACCTTTTCTTGCACAAGGATGTCGACCACCTTTCGGCTGAAACCACACTTTGGTTCATCTGGTTTTCCCTTCATAAACAGCACAACAGGGCTTTTATTAATCAGGCTTTCAAGTCGAGAGTTAAGAGTTTCACTCACACCAGTAGATGCCGAGATTCCACCCTTTCCACTTCCAGCTTCAGTTACTTTTGCCCCAGCAGAATCAGTAGTATCAATTCCATGGTCTCTGAAAACTTCCTTTAATTCACCACTCTCATGCATTGAGATTGCTATGTCACACCCACCAAGAAGCTCCCCTTTGCAGTAAAGCTGCGGAAACGTTGGCCAGTTAGAAAACTTCTTCAACCCCTCTCTGACTTCACTGTCCGAAAGAATATCAAAACTTCCGAATTTGACCTTCTCTTCCTTCAAAATGTCCACAACTTTTTGGCTAAATCCACATTGGGGCGCCTCAGGGCTTCCTTTCATGAAAAGCATGACTGGATTAGAGTCAATCAGCTGCTGCAACCGCCTTTTCAAGGCATCTGCAGGACCATTTTGCGCTTGAACTTTCACCTGGGAAGAACCATTTTCTCTTGCTAACTCTTGGACTGTTTCAAGTATGGTCGGTCCAGCAGCCATCCCAAGGATGGCAGGAGCAGCAGGTTCTCCAGGGTTAACTGATCCAGCAACCCTAGCAACTTTATTGGTCAAACTGGATGGATCTGCCCCTTCTAACGTATCCGCAACCTTTCCATCCTGGAAAATGAAAGCACAAATAGAAAATGACGAAGAGAAGGAAAATAGACAGAAGAGTCGGAGAACCCAAGCCAATGACGAAATTAATTACAAAAGTTTATTAAAAGCAACCATATAGAATTATCTCCCCCAATTCAAACTTAACAAGATTTACCACTTATCCGATTAGAGTAAGTATCCCAAACTCGTGAATCATAAATCATCCTAAACCATCTAAAATTCTATTGCATCTCATTCTTTGGGGCGGATAGTCATTCGTACTGATAAGGCATAACATAAGGCTTCTTTCAATATCCGATATTCACATCACAATCCATGTCACCATTCACAGATCCTAGTCGAAGTCACTGAAACGAACAAAGTGTTCCAATTGAATCTCCACCACCCTCTTTTAAATTTTGAGTTTGCCATCATAATCGAAGCCAATTAGTACTCAATTCTCATTCGAAACAATCATACTGCTGCTAGTATTATATAATCGACAATAACAGTAAACCCCAAGACTCAAATTTAAATCACCTGCAAACCGAAAACAATTGGACAGTAAACCCCGCATTCACACAACCTGATTAACCGAATGCAAAACTCTCTTCTCGAATTTGAAATCGAACTGGCAGCATCAAAATCACCAAGAAAAAATGTATAAACCCAATAAGCATACCTTCACAAAGGCGAAAAACGGCACAGCGGAAACCGAATAGGCCTCGGATATCTCCGGCTGCTCCTCAGCTTCAACCTACAAATTACAAACAATAGTAGATTATTTAAAAGTTAAACTAAAAATATATATATACACACACACACAGAAAACAGAAAAGGCAAAAAACTTCAGAGAAGAGAATGAAACGTTACCCTTAAGAAATGGGCGTGCGGGAAATCCGTGGAGAGGTGGGCGAAGACCTCGTCCATGTGCTTGGAAGCCTCACACCACGACGCCCAGAAGTGCAGAACCACCGGCGAGCCACCGTGGACCAAGCTATCGAGCTCCTTTTGCGACTGCACATCCTTCACTGAGCCACCCATGGAGAACGGAGTCTTCTGAATTCGGAAAACCCACAACCAAAAGCGAGAGAGACAGACGAGAGAGGGGTGGATTTCGAAGCTGCTTATATTATATATGTCATGACTTTAGTGAAATTTTGTAGTTGAGATTACGTAGTCTGTGATTTAATCTCAACCACATAATTTCATTAAATTTCAAATTTTAAATTGATCAAATGTTAATAGGTAGGGCGGTGAGCAAAAATGCACCATACTTGCATCGTCAAGCCTTGAATATCATTTGATGAGTTTAAATTTCAAAATTTGTGTAGTGAATTGATATAAATTTCAAATGTAAATAGGTAGGGCTATGAGCAAAAATGCACCATACTTGCATCGTCAAGCCTTGAATTTTATTAGAAAGTAAGGGCTAGTTCGGTTATGTATTTCTGGAACGTTCGAGGGAAAAAAAGTAACCATTGTGACAATTGAAGCAATGCTTGACGCATAACATGTTACGTTGTCAGATTAGGAAAAAAAACGATATACATGGTTAAGCTTTTACTTGAATGCTTGGTGCAAATTCACAACCTAACAAGTCTAGCAAGACAGCATTATCCGTATGACAAGAAAGATAAAAGATGAACCAAGATTTTCAACCAAAAGAAGAAATAAACTTTAGTTCAAAGCCATTACAATGCAAATGCCTGTTCTTTTTTCTTTGGTAATTGAAGAGTTTCATTAACTCAAAGAAAGTAGACCCAATAAATTGGAACAAAAATCAACTCCAACTCCTTTCAAATCTTAAATCACATTTCCCAAAAGTTCATTACTCTCTCCTTCAACGATTTGATTGTCGATCATCCCTAAATCTCAATCTCATAAGCACCTTTTCGAGAAAGCACTTTATTTCACTTCTTCTTGACAAAAGTTACTTGTCTCCGATTAACACTGTCTAAGTGGATTAGTATTGTTCCAGCATTTTCTCCTTCGGTCCACTTAATCGATTCTTCCTGCAGTAGCTTCAAAATCTGCGTCGATTTAAAATACAACAGTCAAGTAATTGTTTAAACAGATGCACCAAGTAGTTATGACCCAGTCTTACCAATGATCGTCTTCGAGACCCCTTTGAGATATCTTCCTCTTTTGTATCACATATGACCTTAAGAAACTTGATTGCTGACTCGAAGATAACACAAAATTTCAGTAAAACACAAAATTTCAGTAAACATGAAACAAAATCATAAGCAAAATAGGAACACGAGAACGATTACTTACATGAGATACCAGAAAATGAGGAAATTTGACACTTCAAAAGACGTATTGCCTCCTTGGCACCGCATTCTTGCACGTCAAGCACTATTTCACCTTGTGTCTCAACATTTCTGACGAGGAAACGAAAAATGATGATAATTAGCATTGTCGGACCCTATACACTGCCAGTAACAAATTTGCACAAAGGATCAAAGCACACACCACAGAACTTTCAATAAAACGGATGCTAACCTAGGTTTAAGAATCATTTCATTCGACTTCTCTTCTACTTCACACGCCTTTTCGAGGAAAAAACGTCCCTGTGGTAGCACAATAGAAGTTATAAATTCATTTTGTCAAGGCAAATATTACTACGCCAATACACCTTGTTCAATTTTTGAAGCATGTAAAAGCTATATGCAACAGTCGGAAGATGTTGTCTTGTTTGTCAGGGAATCTTGTTTTTTCTTTTATTTGCTTGAAAAAAAATATAATTCATATCCCATCACTTCATAACAGAAAGACAGAAACCTTACTTGTTCTAGAAGTTTGTAAGCTTGATCACGATCCTTCTTAGCAAATGCGGCTACAGCCTACCAAAAGAGTTGATATCCTTACTCGATAGTGTGAAATTTTAAGGCTACTAAGAGACACTACCCTCCATGTTTTATATATCAAATAATTGCACATAAGATAAGGCATAAAAAGTTACATACAGCCTGGTAATAGTCGTTCATCGTACTCCGATACTCCTTCCAAGACTTACGGAGACCCTGGTAGCTATCTTCGTCATCTGCGTCTGCAATTCTAGCACACTTTAATCATGAAGGAAAATACAAGACATAAACATAAATTTGACAGGGAAATTGACTTGAGCAACCACACATGGAATTTAGCTACTGCCTTAATAGGTCTGTCTTTAGGATTAATCTGGATTTCATAGGAATTGAATAAATTCCTAAGGCCACCATTCCCTCCACAAAGGGTATTAGGGAAATGAAGTTTCTCCCATATAGAGAAAAGGGTGCATACCATCCTCGACATGATGCTGTTGATACACAACAGCTGACTTGTACTCTGAAGTGAAATCTTGCGGAGGTTCAGCAACTAGGTGTCCATATGCTCCATATCTACTCCCTGCCTTTATTTTACTTCTTGGTCGCTCCACTGGTGTCTCCTCGGTTCCCTCAGAAGCACCAAACAGGGAAGCCAGAATATCCTTCGGGATATCATTTCTCTCCTTTTGCTGTTCAGTAACTTCTGCTCCATTTGTATTTGAAGCCCTATCTCTGTTACTGCATGAGACGAGCATAGACATGTCAGAGTGATTGATATAATAAACTAGGAACTAATGAACTATAACTAAAGTATTGAAGAAGCAATACCCTTCGGTGTAGTTTTTGGATTTTCTGTCGGAGGATACTTTATATTTCAGGGACAAATCTGCAGACTGGACAATAATCTCAAATAAGACGGCAAGGGAGATAAATACCAAAGTAGGATTTACTAAGCATGCTGGAACAATTTCATGGACTAGATCTTACTGTACCTAAAGCCTAAATGCTACACAAAATGCCCTGTCCCCCAAAACTATGACAAAACAATAAGAAACTTTTACTTTCAAATATCGATTACAAGAGCTGTACAAAACTGCATGAATGCATCCTTGAATTAATTTATGCACTTCTGTAGAGTGTGAGCTCTCTTCGTATTACCTCCTTACATGAAATTAAGATTGAATTTACTTTTCTGAAGAACTGATTCGAATATGCATCAGTGATGCAGTTTGACATGTTATTGGTATAAATCAGAAAGCACACAAATCCCGTTTTGGAAGTGTTACTAACCTTCTCACTGGATTTTCCAACAAGTTCGTTCCTTTTTTCGGAAGTCAATGCTGGCAGATTAATCAGTTTTTCCATGCTCTGAATGGTATTAAAAGGAAAATGTTATTGCTTAGAAGTACTCTGTCTATACATACCTTTTCAATGTGTAGCATATGAAAGATAATTGTATAACATTAGAAAATTGGAAAATTATATTGCACATACATCTTATAGTAACGAAAAGGCTACAAAAATTGTAAAGAGACTGTCTTTCAGGTTTCGATAAGTAAAGAGGGTTTAGTGTACCTTTTCCATATCATATCCGCAACTATCTGCATGTCCAAATAAACCAGGATTAGTGTTCACATATCAAGGTCATTGATCAAACAATTCTTAAACACCACATTAACATCCATGAAACGAAATCAAAATAGTCATCTTAAATCTACAACCATCAAACAGACTGCAATCAAAACATTCAACACTCAATTCATCGTGTCTCAAAAGTCAAAATTTCAAATGCCTCAAGCATTAAGTTTTCTTTCCGTAAATTATGGTATAATCATACATTGCGCCAACCTAATCATTATCCTATTTTTATTCTCGTCTTCCTTCTCTAGACCAACTCACTCTTGCCCTCTACTCTTCAATGTTCTTTCTTCCCAATCTTCTCTCCCAACTCCGATAACCAAGAGTATGCACAGTACTTCAACTGAGTAAGTGCGTGCCTAACCACATTATGCTAGACAAAATTTGAATAATCCTTGACAAGTTCAACAATCACAAATACAAACACTTCATGTAAATATATAAACCAAAGAACAACGCAAATCGAAATGGATGAAAGAGATAACTAATAAAAGAGCAAAACTTTACCAAGAACTTGCCGAATCCGATCCCTCTCTAGCTTGAACCCAACTCCAAGCATACTGAACAGAAAATCCTCCATGTCCTGGTGGAGCCGATCATCCTTTGAAGAACTAGACCCATCGTTTTCGACCCAAATTTCTGACATTGGCAACACACTGGAGTTCAGCTTCAACGGCTTGGTTGCTTCACTAGACCCATTTGCCGGTGTCGGCGACGTTTTCTTAACATAATGCTTCCCAATAATGTTCGAGACGCTGCCAGCTGAAACCGGCCGATATTTCGGCTTTGAAGCTCCGGGATTCCCGTTCCCATTCATATTCCCATTCCCATTCCCGTTTGCCTGATACGGCGGCTTCTTATAGATACCATTGACAGGTAATCTGGAAGTTTCTCCGCCATCGGGTGCAGAGAGAGCCAGAGCTTCGGCGGCGTCCTCAGCATTCTTCCCCGCCTTGCAATACGCAGAAGCGATTTGATCGAGAGAAAACGCGGGCCCGAACGCCTCCAGCAAACCCCTCAGCGCCATCTCGTCGGTGACAATCGACGCGCCGTTCGAACCAGAGGCCTCCATTTTCCCAGAAACTCGACGGATAACAAGAAAAGAATTCTGAGGAAGACGAAGAGAGTGACACTGATTAGAACAGCAGAGATGAATTTTTCCCAAAAAAAAATTCTGGGTTCGAATCAGAAATGCAAATCAACCAAACCCAATTGAACGATAACAAAAAATCACACAAATTGATCAGAATTTTGGAATCGGAGACTCAAAGTTCGAAGCTTTTGGCACTCAAAGACGCTGTTTTATTGAAAACTCTAACAGCAGTGAGAGATTGGATCGAATAGTTTGGAAAAAATCTGAACGCGAAACCCAAAAGAAAGGGGTTTTGGAGACGAAGATGGTGCGAGAGCGAGAGTGTTGTGATACTTACACAACTAATTCATGAGCGAGTTATGAGAGTGAGAGGATTGAAGAATATTTTGCATAAATAAACAAACCAAAAAAGTAAACTAAAAAACCAAAAACCAAAGAAACAGACGAAAGCAGCATGCTTTTGGCGCCTTCGCTGTTGCTTACTCGCTTTCTCCCTTCCAAAGCACGTTCCTTCCGAGGGAAGTTGTCGAGTGATTGATTGGTCAAGTCAAGTGTTTTAAGTACTGATGGGTTCTTGCCTACCTGGCTAATTACCAACCAAAAATACATGGATTTGGTTCACTAAATTGGAATTGGATCCTCTCCGGGGCAACCCCTCGGATTCTGACCGGTGTTAGTGGATTATTAAATTTTTATTCAACAGGCACAATCAGAGAGTCCTCTAAAAATTATAATAATTGCAGCCATTAGATTTTATCCAACGGCCCACTAATCCTGATCAGGAGGATCTGAAGGTTTGCCTCGGAGAGGATCCAATTCCGACTAAATTGTGTGATGGTAAGGGGAGTCGTCCACGTAAATGATACGGGGCCGTTGATGTATGTGCGTCTGCAATCATGCATCAACCGATGGAATTACCTTACTGAATGATAGATTAGTTTCTAATTTGATATTAATTTGGGAGATATTTGGTATGTTTCTTAATTTTTTGTATCTAGATCAAGAAGTATAAGATGATGTGTATGTGGGTTACGTCATTTGTTGAGGAGAGATTTTTTTCTACCTGGAACATAAGACGATACATTACGTGTTATAATATAAGTAGACGACATTGATTGAAAAATATATTGTTCTTGTCACTGAAACAACGACAAAAAATGATTCAAAATTGAATACAGAGCTAAAATACACCACTCTAATCAACTTAGTTGTCATACTTAGGTTTGCAACTTTTTATTTTGAACTATTATTTGTTCAAAACAATTACAAACAACGCACGTAATTATCTGATCACATAAACACCCTGATGCCCTGGTTTCCATAACCAAATGCATCTTGATTTGCTTGCTTTCCCGTAGGTTTGCTCAACCAACTGCCATTTTTATGCCATTTTTCACTGGAACAAACTCATCTGCGTGCTGATTTTACAGTATAAAAACCCTAAACATGAAGAAGAAGAAGATCATAGGCAACTAAGTAGCAATTGAAGATGGCAACACCAAAAAAAAAGGCATGCGTAGCTTATTTGCTATTACTTAGCTGGGGAGTGAGCTCTGCTCATAGGGCAATTAGTATTGGCAAGGATAAAGCTGTACTAGTTGACAGGCCAGATTCCCTTGGCTTCGGACAAATCGGAGGAGGGCTCGGAGGACAAATGGGATGAGGCATCGGGGGAGAAATGGGAGGTGGACTCGGCGGGCAAATGGGAGGAGGGCTCGGGGGACAAATGGGAGGTGGCCTCGGCGGGCTAATGGGAAGAGAGCTCGGGGGACAAATGGAATGAGGCCTTAGCGGGCAAATAGGAGGAGGCATCGGAGGACAAATGGGAGGAGGGCTCGGCGGAAAAATTGGAGGACTTGGAGGACATAGGAGGAGGGATTATTGGAGGTGGTATTAATTTCAATCCAAGTTTTGGCGGCAGAGGTGACCAAGGCAGTGGATATGATAGCGGATAAGGTGTTGGTAGTTGTGGTGACCAAGACAGTGGATGTGGTGGTGGATATGGAGGTGGCAATTGTGGCGGCTAATGTGGTGGAAGTGGCGGTGGTCATTGTGACGGCCAAGGCGGTGATGATGGTGGCATGGGCCATGATCAAGGCGGCCAAGGCTTCCCCATCCCTGGCTAAACATATATATCTTGTGTAATAAGCATCATTGTGTAATAATGTGTGTCACAAGCATTCAATAAAACCCCCAAAACCTGTGACAAAAAAAAAGTGTTTTGCAGCTATTGCCCTACTGTTGTAAGGCCTTCGCCCGCTAATTTTATTGGCGGAACTTAGAGATTGGAATGTGTTGATGCACAAAATCGGAAGGTGTTGGAACAACGTAAATTCGATAGTGAATCATGCAAATGTCCAAGAACACAAAGATGTATCGTGGTTCACCCCAATGTTTGGGCTACGTCCACACAGATGTTGATTGTATTTCTCTGTAGCTGTATGTATGGTTTACAAGCTCAAGGGGAGTCCCCCTGAGGAAGAAAGTGTTGTCTCTGAGTTGTTTGAGACTTGTATGTTTTGGGGTATCCCAGAGTCTGATTTGTGAGGGGGGAGGAGTCATCTTTTATAGAATAAGGGGCTCCTCCTTTTACATGATTATGGGCTGAGTAATGAGGCCCAAATGTTGAGGCCCAATGTGTCAAAGTCTGAGACCCAATATGTGTGGTACCAACAGACTGAAATTGCAAACGAAGATAAACACGGTGATCAAATGTGTTTCGTGCCATTAGGGATCACATAGCACGGCAGAGCCAGTGACTCTAATTTTTTCACAAAGTCTTTGTTTAGAAACTCACCAGTTGGAAAACACTTGTCGTTCGAATTTGATTCGCTTCCGGTGCACGGGATGCTGGGGATTCGCGTGCACAAACCCATCTGAAACATCACTCCACAAACTTGTCCATTGTCGTCTTCGCGCCTAGTCGCCCTCGCCTTGTGCACTGGATGAACAAAGCTCATAAGGCCTGTTCCACTTGCGAATATCCAGCCTGTTACACCATTTGAATATGCAGCCTGTACCACTTGGCATCATTCAAGTACAAAATGCTTCACAAAACTAAAGCAAAATCGAAATTGTTATTAAACGTTCCTTGATTTGTGTACTTTTTGTGTTTTATGGTGGAAGAAAAATCTACAAATTGTGATCTTTGTGTGCGAATACCTGCATTTAGGAAATCCATATTGTGTCAAATAGTATTCACATCAATGCTAGTGGGAGGGAGTCCATCAACCAAAAGAATCCCCCAAGAACTCACCGGAAAATACAAGCCGGAGTCTCATGTTGTTAAAGGTGCTCCACTACATGACAGACTAGACAGAAGGAATGTTATCATTCCTTTACAGCTAGGTTAGCATGTGAAGATGTATCATTATCTGGACAGCAAGGACACATGCATCGTGGACAGCAAGGTCACTGCATGTGTATTCTGACTGTTGCAACATGGACAGCAAGGATGCCACTTCTAGTCCTTTTGTTTATTGCATGCGTGTGTAATAAGATGTATATAAACTCTGCTGCAATTGCAGCAGAACATGTATAAAAAACATATATTGGATCCAAACTTTATATGTTCAAGCTAAGGTTTCTGTAAAACATAGGAGAGGAGATTGCAGATTAAGATTTTACAAAATTGTGAGGGCACTTCAACCCCGCTTAAACCGAAAACTGAGGGCACTTCAATAAAACGAAAACTGATCAGGGGCTAATGTAAAATATACATGACAAGCGAAAAGAACGAAGCTTGATTATTACCGCGGATAACGGAGTGACATGATAAATTGGAATCACTCAGACAATGAGCCGAAAAATTTGTGTCATATATATGAGAATCGAGCTCACATGAACTATTTCGTAAACGTAATATGACAGATCTGGGAAACAACAGGCTATACGTACACTTAAACCCTAGAGAAGATGGATGCCATGAACAATATTTAACCATGGCAGAGCCCTACATGAACAAGATTTGATCATACAACCATATATACAAGAGAGTTTTGTGCGATTCCGCTCGCCAATTGGCAGTTCTTATTTCATTCTCAGCTTGCCAGAATTGGAACGCCGCAGACTGCGGGAGCATGTTTCCCCTCTTCGAAGACAAGGTTTCCTCTTACAAATGTGGCTGCAACTCTTCCGGATAACTTTGTCCCCAAGTAAGCTGAAATACCCTACAAATTGAAATGTAACACAGGAGAGTAAAATGCTTGCTTGACGCAATGAACTCCGATAACATAGAACTGGTTCAATAGATTAAACCGAATGCATAGGGGATCTTCAAAATATGATCAAGAAAAATGCGTACTGGGTGTTTGACGTGCATGGGGAATTCATCATCGAGGTCGAATTCCACATCTGGATCCCATACTACGATATCCGCGTGATTCCCTACTGCAATTGCCCCCTGCAAATTATAATTTAATTAGTAATGACTCTAATGAGACATGTTTAAGTTTTTCTTGGTGCATACATGTAATGCACCAGCATAACAATATCCGTGTCTGCGGGAAACTTGGCTAAAACTGATGATAATTCCACCTTCAATTTTTGTCCAGCGAGCCTGGCCGGCCTTTCGCTCCACCATAAAGCTAACTGTTGTAATGTCACTCCATATTTCTGGCCATATGACCATGTCACAGGAAGAACAAACTGCAAGTGCACCGAAAACAATGTTGGTTAGTCCTGAAACAAATCGCAACCTTTTACATTTGAAGGCAAAAGTATGCCAACCTGCAGAGATGATATGCCACCCCAAGCTTTCAAAAAGTCTCCACCGTCGAGAAGCTTAAGTTCCGGCATGGTTGGTGAGTGATCAGAGCTTAGCATGTCAACGTGTCCCTCCTGAAACAAAACATCAAAAGCCAAATGAAATCAATTTGACGGTAAATAACCATCATCTTTCCATCAATTAGAGTAGTTTGGAAAATCACTTTGTAAGGAGGTAGGCAAACAGAAAATAAGTACATACCAACAAAGCCTCCCACAGTTTTTCCTTGTTGGCTGCATCGCGGATGGGTGGAGAACATTTGAAACGCGTATCTCCATCGGGAATCTCTTCGGCTGAGAAAGCTAAGTAGTGAGGGCATGTCTCAACAGTTAAACTATCACCGCCACTTTTCGCTTCCTGCAATAATGCATAAAAAACACTTGCATTACCTATCGGAGAGAATAATAAGACGCTCTATAATCCGCACTAGTAGAAGACTATACCTTAATAAGATCTAATGAAGAGCGCGAGTCTGACAAGTGAACAATGTGAAGATGAGCTCCTTCTGCCGGGCCACCAATCCTTGTGTCCTTTGTCAAGGTCAAGAGATCCTTAATTGCTGCCTCTTCCCTGTTTCAAAAACAAAGGAAACACAGTTATCGTGTGAAATTAGAACGAGAATTTAGCATCCACACGAACAATATCTTACCACGAAGGTGGCCTGGTCTTGAGATATGTTGAATAAGAACGAGGATTGTTACTACCATCTTCAACTCCCAAGTTGCTTTCGAGTTCTTGTTCTTTCTCAGCATGTACAAGTAAAGGCCTTCTGTATTTCGCTAGTACAGACAGTCCCTCCTAGTGAACAAGTAATTGAAAATACAGATTTTTAAAAAACGTCAGAACTGCGAAAACAACATTCATCTCAAGAAGCCAATGGCTGCAGCAATACAATCAACAAATAAGATGGCGATTATTTTGTTCTAATTTAATTGCAAAGTAAATTATATGTTTTATGTGATAGTGGGAGGGATGAATCTCATGAAACAAACCTTAATGTGACTGGCATTTGTCATAGGAAAGTCGTTGATCCCGGATGGACACATAAAAGACTACAAAAATAGACATCGAAAAATTCATTAGACGAGGATCATAAACATCTGCACAGTTTGCGGGTAGAAAACTGTTTCCTAAAGCAGGAAGACAGCAAATTTGGTCCACATTAGATCGACACGATGTTTGAATTAGTTGGTTAGAGCGTTCCTTGTGGCACAAGAAATGTAATGGAACAGTGCTCTCTCTAGGCACAAAACTCACTACTTGAATAGTTACCTTTAGACCAAGAACGCCGGCATCTAGGAGGTCCTCGAGAGCAGATGCATTGAACGCGTTTTCAGGAACAAGCCCTCCCCAAAAGCCTGTTCACATTGTATTTAAATTTAAGCCAGTTCTTAAATATTTGAGTATAACTGTATCCCCAACACATAGTTTCAAGTTCATACCAACATCAACGTAAATTCTGCTCTCGGCGGCCTTAATCTTGAGTTCCAAAGTCTCTCTGGAGACAGTCGATGGGTCACTATTCAGAGGCATGTCAACCAATGTTGTTATCCCACCTGCAAGAAAGCGAAAAATAAATCTTCTCGATTTTACTAATCGATGAAAACAAAAGAATGCAGCAGAGTTACATAGGCACACCAGCAGCAGCAGCTTTAGTTCCGGAAGGAAATCCTTCCCATTCAGCTCTTCCAGGATCGTCGAGATGTGCATGCCTGAAACCAATACAAACGACGCGTTTAAGCTCAAATCTAAAACCCTAATTACCTTCGTGACGATGAAGAAACAGATCGAAAAGACAACTGATTTTGTCGTAACTTACACATCAATCAGGCCAGGCATGACAACGGCCTCTCCGTAATCAATCACATTTTCCGACTTGATCTTCCCATGCTTTTCCTCTTCTTTAACAATTGAGGCAATCTTCCCATCCTTAATCTCAACTGCACATTTCCACATTTCTTAAACGTAATTATTTGGTGCTAAACCTCGTGTCCGCCCGCTCTTGGACTCGAGTTATATCATTCTTCTTCGTAAATTAGTGTAAAATATCGTCTTACCTGCTCCAGAAATAACCCCTTGAGGTGTCACAATGCGCTTGCTGGCGATCCAATAATGTTGGAAAGGCAGCAGGCTGCAGTTTTTCGGATATTGCTGCAAAATAAAGGGTTTTGATCGAACTCCGTCAAAATGGCGGACGTTGGCAATTTCAAACACAACACATTACACGATTTGAAATTCAAACGAAAATATAGTCTGACATGCACACGAATAATACTGTTTATATAATATTATGAACATGATAACTTTTTTCTTTTCGATGATAAACAGAAGGACGATACAACACAAATACAACACATAATGTCCATAACGTTTCTGTAAATAAAAATTTAGTGGATAAATATTATATACTAATTTCACGTCAAAAAAAGAAGTGATGTCACCAAAATTTCTTAGTGGAATATTCTTAGTGGGGTAGAACGTAGGACAGCATAACTTCTCTATCATCTATTATTTGACAAATTAAAACAAGTTCATATCACCCAGTATTTTAAAATTTCAGATCCACTTGTCCACTATCAAAACAAAAGTAAACAACAAACGCAATTTGGAATTATACACCGACTGACGTGTCGGAGTAGGATTCTCTCTCACTTTTTTTTTTTTTTCTCTCGTTATAAAGAAATCAAACAAAAAAATATTAACGTGACTTAACATGATTGTTGACGTGATTTAACTTTCTCTCGTTATAGAGAAATCGAACAAAAAAATATTGACGTGATTTAACGTGACTGTCCAAATAAAAGGAGACTGGAATGGAATGGAGGAGAATTTGGAGGGAAAAGATGAAGTCAAAGAAGTATAACTCAGAATCAACACGGTCCTTTAATTGCAATGATTTTTCTAAAAGAAAATAGTGTTTGGTTGATGAGAAAAATGCAGAGAAAACGTCTAAGGAAAAACGGAAAATTCAAGTCTCTAGTTTTGATTTTTCTAGTTATCAAAAACCATATAAATTAAAAAAAAAAAAGTTTAGATCGATAAATAATATCGTTTCATAATTATTTGAATGGATTAGACAGGAAAATAATCACCATAAAAATTCATACAGTATATTTCAATGATTTTCTACACAGAGAACACAGTTTGGTTGATGAGAAAATGAGCGAAACAAACGAACAAATTGGAATCATATATATAAATTACAAAATTCAAAAGTATTTCTTTGCGCTCCCTATTTCTCGATTGCCTTAAGCATCAGCATCAAACAAAAATATAAAATCAACCCACCCAGAAAAAAAAAAACAATAAAACAAAAATATCAAAGAAGCATCCCTGAGAGTGAAGAATAAAAAACAGTAATACGCTGCAAGTTTCTCCATAAAAATAGTGTTTGGTGGGCGAGAAAAAAAAAAACAAAATTTATCTAACTCTAAATTTTCCAGTATTAACAGAAAACCAGTAACTTAATAACATTTTTACATCATTAAAATCAGTAAAAAATAATACGTAAATACAACCCAACAAAATAAACAAATGAAAAAGAAAAATAAATTACATGAGACAAATGAAAAAGGGAAAAAAATCCAATTAAATTACATGGAACAAAAAATAAATTTGTTATCAGACCTGGGAGGGATACTGGAAATAGAAAAATAGTAGGAAAGAAGCGATCAGTGTAAGCACCGGCAATATCCTCCATTGCAGCGCGTCCATTTTTCTCTCTCGCTCCTCTGACTGCACAGTGCAGACACTGTCAAACAACAAGTGCTCTCTCTCTCTCTCTCTCTCTCTCTCTCCCCCTCTATTTATGCAGATTCAACGCACCAATAGGAGCTCCTGTTGTTGGAAAATGATCCTCTCCAGATTCCTTCTTTTTAATCTACCAAATCAGAAAATTCGTGCTATTAAAATTTGATTCAACGATTACAGACAAGATTCACTTTAAAAATTATAATAACTTCTGCCGTTGAATCAATTTTCAATGTCTTGGATTTTCTGATTTTATGGATTATGAAGCCAGTGGGATATGCGCACGTAGGGTGTAGATATACGACAAAGTGGGGGAGTGCACCTTAGGGCTGTCCATGTGCCCTGTAAGGTTCATCTTTGAAAGGTAATTACGGTCTAATAGTATTTTTTTTAGAATCGTAAGTGATAGGTTTTAAATTTGATTATTAAAAAAAACGAACCTGAATCATAATATTACTAAGATGTTTGAGGTTTAACTTATTATTTTTATTTTAGTATTAATAATATCATTTGTTAAAAAAACAAATACCACCCCGTGATTTATTCCTGAATCTTGATGCCTGGAGCCTGATGCCTTTTGAACAAGTGGACTTTGTCCTAACAGGGGTGGGGTACCCGTGTCGTTTGGGAGCAAGATTCCTGAATCCTGATTGCCTTTTCAACGGGTACGCTTTGTCTCATCAGGCGTGGGCCCTGGGGTACGCGTATCCTCTTCTTATTGCTTCCCATTTTTCAGTTAGGGGCCTAGGGCCTGCGTTGTCAATTTCCTCTCATACCTTCGAGATTATGTTGAATACATAATTAAGTTGGTTAAAGTTTTCTGAATAAACGATATTATTTATATTAAAAAAATAGAAGGATGAGCTTGGCTTTACATAATATAGTTTAAATTTATCTTTGACGATAATCGAATTACATTATTCTAATCATTATTATCTTATCGGATTGTAATAGTGTTTATTGATGACATTAACAAAGGCTTGTACATTAAGAATATTATTAATATTATTGTTCAACACTCTTAAGAGCCGGTAATGTTCATCATCATATTTATCACTGTTAGATGAATTTAAATTTCAAGATCTATATAGCGGATAAACACAAATCTCGAAATTTAAACTTATCCAACGGTGATAAATAAGGTAGTGAACACTATCGATACTCGAGAGTAGTGAGCAAAACTGCACATATATACATTATGAATTAACGTCACATTAGACAAATGAGACTAGAATTATTAGTTAACTGAATACTAAAGAAATAATTCTCCAATTTCGTCCACGTAAATATACACTGTGTTCATCTCTCTTTCTCTTTCCACCCTTTCACATGTACATTATTTTATCCCTTCTTACACAAGTTCTATTTGAATTGTGATTGTTTGAGATTTTTGTGTACATTGGCGTTTGTCATATTGACAAATATATGAATAATTTCACTTTCAAAGAAGAACATATTGACATGACACCAACCAAATACAACTTCTAGAGATTTCACTCTATATTGGAATAAAATCTAAAAAGAAATGATACGGGTTGGATGAGTTCCTTTTAGATTTTGAGTTTTTTCTTTTTCTAAAAATATTGTTATTGACACTCTAAATGAGGTTCATTTGGATGACTTGATTCAAGTACGGTCCACTTACTCATTTTTATCTCTCATATACTATTCTTAATTTTTGACCGTCGGATCGAAGAAGATCAATATATAAATAATTTATTCAAGAAAATTACATGTTTACAAAATACCATCTTAATTCATCATATCTGAGATGTGATGTGGTTCCGAAGGATGGACTATATATAGACAATTCCAGTAAGATTTCATAACCAGAAGCACCCCTTGTTTCAAAGAGAGGAGGACAAGTTATTAACATTTTAATTGATGATCAGAAACAAATTGAAAGCTGAGCAGTGGTAATTCTAAAGATTTCTCCCGAAAAAAAAAAAAAATCTAACAAGGATGCGTGTAACACTACTTTAATCCTATCACACATTTTTCATGCGTTTTAATTTACCACTCCAGTCTAACTTAAATTACAAAATCACCCTCGATTGCCTTTCCCCATTTTCCCACCGCTCCATTTCAAGAGAGCAGGATCCTGATCAGAGGCCGAGAGAAAGAAGAAGAAGATGACACCGCATCAATGGGGGTCTCCGTGCGGCCACCAATGCACGCACAAGTACGCAGCTCTTATGCAGATTCCATGTAAACCCATTATCCTCCACACTCGCTCTGAAATATTGCTTCCTCCTGAATCTTTGATTTCCTTTATTTCTTTTGATTTTCGTTTTCGTTTAATAATTTCAAATTTTTTTGCTCTAATTTTGACCATTTCGCTTGTTTTCTCGCTCGAAATGATACTGATATCAAAATTATCGCGCTGTTTATGTTAATCTCGTGTTGGGTAATTAACGTAGGTGATGAATTGCAGAGTTTTTCGACCCCTAATTTTGATTTATGTATTTTGTACGATCAGTTTTGACCCAATTTTGCGTTTTTAGTGGCGGAATTTTCCTGGTGAATTGGGGTTGGAGTAATGTTTGCTTTAGGTACAAGCAAGCACCGGAATTTGTGTTTGAATATTGATTGTTTAAAATCTGGAACTATTATTCTGGCTTACTGTAAATTGTGTGTTTTTCCCTGTAGGGCGAGTATTTTGCAAAAAGGGGTGCGATACAGATGGAGAGACTTGGGAAGAATGTGAGTATTAATTTGTTCTTCAATTCAGTTTTCGTATGAACATACTTCGATGAGAATTTATGTTCTGGTTGTTTGGTTTGGTCTTGTTCTTTTTCCATTTTGAATTTCGCTTTTTGTCACCTTGATGTTTATGGACACATTACTAAAATGGCATTTCTAAGAACCCATTGGCTACCCATAGAGTACGGACTTTGTTTATGCTGTGGGAAGTTCCCCATCTGCATTAACTTTTGGTTTGTGGATTAGCTTGGCTCTTATCGTTTCTGTATCTGAAACTTGATATGGAAGTAGACTATTGGTTTAGAGTTGGTATGCTACTAGATCGAGGTGGGGTTCCGTCCATAAGTAAATTATTATGTAGTTGGTTAAATACTTCAAGTGATATAGCGAGTATATATAACACAGGCTTGGAGGAGTGCAATGAGATATGCTATAAGGATCCTGTCTTAAAGGACCAGCAATGGAGTGCTTGCATTGACCGTTCTCCCGGAGTTGACAGATACTCAGAGGTATGTTTCCCTCTATAGTTTCTTCTTAGCATGCTAATGAGTAATGAGTAACATTTTCGATGATAATACGAACACATGGTAATGTTTATTAAATCGTTATCGCCTCTTGTATCTTCTCAAGTCCAAAAGTTGTAGTCACTAATGGCGGTGTTGTTCACTATACTAGCCTCATGATTCACTAATTTTTTGTAATTTTGACCAACCATGGGCATTATTTTTGTATTGAAGGTGAAAAGTAGGATTATTTATGCTTTAAACAACTAGTTTTGTCCAATGATGGCCATAAGAAAATTGGTAATTTGGTACTATCTGATATAGCTAAATGCCCCGTGATTTAAAATCTTGAACTTAGTGAATTTGAGTGGAAAGGTTCATATGGTTGCATATCATCATCGTCCTAAAGCATGGTCCTGATTCGATGCACATTTTTTCAGACGAGTTATTGCTGATCCGATTCTATGTGCAGGAGTGTTTTCATGCTTGTGTATCTGGTTGCGGCTTCAAGGTTAGTCCGTTCTCAACCCCGTAACGTTCTGGTTACATTTTATCTAGGATGAATATTTAGAAAGTTATAAAGTTCCTTGATGTCGCAGTTTGATAAAATCCAGACATAGCTGATAAAGTTCGTCCAAACAGGCCGCCTAAGCCTCCCCCTGTTGAAAAGCCACCCGCCCACCCTGCTGAACCCACGGCAACGACCGACGACATACTTAGCACTTCTGCATAGTGAGAGACAGACCTAACTATACTACAAAATGGATACATTTATATAGTTAGTTGATAGTTTGCAGGATTTAATTTTCTTTTTGCTATTTATATGCCCTTCGCGTCAACTAACATCCAGGCTTCCAGATTTTTTGACTGTAGACTGGATCCCCATTCTATTGTACTGGAGTTGGAGACGATTTGAGATTGAGATCCACTTCGGATCCCTATGTCTGAAGCTCACGGACCGAGAGAATGGACCACTTAATTTCATTCCTATTGGCCCCCATTAATTCATCACATTGACCCACTTTACAAAAACTCAAAATTTGAACGGTTTGGATCTCTCGGTTTATGGGCTTCGGACACAAAGATTTGGAATGGATCTCATTCCATTTAATTGTTATTGATATATTTGCAAGTTCCATGGTAGGAAAAATGTTTGAGAATTTGTTCACTGTGGATTCGTTTTTGATCGAAGTGTAGAAGTGGAGAAGCCAAGCTGCCATGATTTAGGGGTGGTTTGGGAGTGAGGTGATTAAAAAAAAAACACCCATGAAAAAAAGCTGTGAGGGTTTTAGGCGTTTGGTAAACTGAAAAAAAATGGCTTATTTTGGAAGCTGCTGTGAGAATAAGCTGAAATCAAAGGAAAAAGCTGAAGCTGTTATTTGCAGCTTTGGAAAACTGGCTTTTTTTCAAAGCACACGGAGCTACAGTGCTCCTTTAATGAAAAGACCCACTATCAGACTGCTTTTTTTTCCAAAAGCACTTTTATAAAAAAGTTTACCAAACACTCTGCTGATTTAGTTCACAGCCGCATATTCTCACAGCACAGCCATTTATTCTCACAACAGTTTTTTTTCAAAGTACAGCAATACCAAACCAGCCCTTAGTTGGAGTAGATGAGTCGGTAGATTTATGTATGTTGAATGAAGCAAAAGATGTCAATATTTTATTTAAGTTGAAGGTAGAAAATAAGTTAGTCACGAGAAATGTTTTTCCTCGATCACGTTCTACTTCCAATTTGGACCTCTATTTCTTGCTTCAAATTAGATGCAGCAAGTTATTTTTACTCCAGTCCAATCTCAAGCTCCTAGCGACCAAACGAGACTCAAAGGTATATTATTAACACAATGTGATAAGCGGTGTCACACTGAAAAAAATGAAGCATAGGGTTCATGAAATATACCCAAATTATAGTAAGTAGTTTAGTTATTGCACATGAAGTAGTGTTTTGTCCTGGTTGAGCATAATTATAGGGTAGTGCTATCATTTTAACACCCCTTTTAATTTTCAACTGTCGGATTAAATAAATTGAAGAATATTAATGATAAAAAATTAACAAGGATGTGTGAGAGGTAAAAATGAGTGTCTGAGTAGCACTATTCCTAATTATATTAGCCGTCCTAGACTTTGGTTTATAGTAAATTGTAGTAATGATTTTTTAACTTTAACTCAATTGAAGCAATGATCTCTCAACTAAAAATCCATTACCACTGGTCATTAACTCATCAAAACATGCAACTATGGTCCCTCAACTAAAAATTCATTATCATTGGTCCTTCAACTTTAACCCAATTCAAGCAATGATCCCTCCACTTTAACTAAATTGTAGCAATGATCCTTCCAACATAACTCATTTTGACAAAATTATGATGAAGTTAATGAAAATGACCATAGCTACACATTTTGATGAGTTGAATGAGCCAATTGTAGCAATAGTCCTTCCAACATAACTCATTTTGACAAAATTTTGATGAAGTTGATGAAAAGAACCATAGCTACACATTTTAATTAGTTGAGGGAGCCCAATTGTAGCAATGGCCATTTCAACATAATTCATTTTTACAAAATTTTTACGAAGTTGATGAAAATGACAATTGCTACAATTTATTCCTTTGGTTTATTACTCCAAAATTAAATGATGGTTCAACAGAGAAAAATAAGTCATGATTCAATCCAAAACGCCGTCGTATAGAGAAAAGGCGCGGTCGTATGAATAGAAGCACATCGAAGAAACCAGAACAAACGTACCAAAAAGCGAAGAAGATCCGGCGATCTTCAATCATCGGAGAAAATCACATGTACGACGTCACTTTGTCGACCTTCAGTCACACTCCCACTGAAGACACAGAAGCGTGCAAGAAACACAATCTGAAAATTTGTACCCTAGAATTTAATTTCAATTCTTAAACCCCTGTTTGGAGGTGATTGATTCTTGAAGCTCGGAAAAACCCTAGAATCTCAGAGCGGGTCAGAACCCCCGATTGGATTGGATAAAAGATGCCTCAGGTGAGGATCATCGCGAAGAATTTCATGGACATGGTGGCCGCCCTGCCCGCCATGAAGCTCGACAAGCTATACGAGAATGCATTCATCTGCGAAGCAATTCTCAGGTCTCCACCTTTTCTGCTTTTCTTACTTCAATCTTTCTTCGCTTTTGCAATGTCGAGTATTAGCTTTATTTGCAATTTGTGTTTGTTGATTGGGTGCATAGGGAACTAGCTGAGCCTGTAGTCTTTGATGAGTGAGCAAGTGAATAATCATCTTGGTGCAATTTTCGGGTCTCGGTTTTCTTTGTCATTGCGGCACATTAGCTTTGTTTTTGGGTTCTTTTGTGTGTGTTTTTTATTAGTGCATATGAACGACTCTGTGATCTCTATGCACTTTGATCTTTGATGAGTTAGTTAGTGATAATCATGTAGCTGTAGGTACAATTTTTAGGTTTCGAGTTGCTTTCACGTATTGGTTTTATTTACTTGTTTATTTTGGGTTGTATTTTAGTTTATGTTTGTTGATTAAGTGTATATGAACTAGCTCGGTAATAATCATAGAGCTGCAATTTTCAGGTCTCTGCCACCGTTGGCTAAGAAATATGTCTTGCAACTGTTGTGCATTGAAGTTCCGGTGACTGCCAAGTCAATGGAGGAGTGGGTGCTTCCTGATGGGGTCTCGAAGCATAGAGTTGCAATTGATCGGCTGATTCAATTGAGAATATTTACTGAAACTGTGGACAGGTGATTCGAGCTTTTTTTTTTTATGGTTTTCCAGAACAACATTTTAAATTTGATGCTGGGTGGTATCTTTATTTTATTTATATTGTTTTCATTTTTGACTTTATGACAGGAAGAGGGAAACAACCTACACACTAAATCCTATATTTCAGACTAATCTCAAGAAGCTTCTGGTACACGGGTGAGTTTTGCGCCCCCTACTTACTTCTATTTGTGTGTATATGAGGTTTAGGGATCAAAGTAATTACAAGATAGTGGGTTATGCGTTTATGTATAGGGTTTACTCATGCAGAAGTTTCAGGGCCTCTGTTCATTATTTCACTTTTTTATACTGCAGTGTAGTTTTGCCGAGAGAACCAATGCCTTCAAATATCACAGTGAGGCTCCCAAGCTTGGAGGATCTTCAGGCTTTTGCCCTAGAACAATGGGAGGTATGGACCCATGCATCTATTACCTTTTTGAATTTATGATTCTGTTTTTAAATATTTTGTGTGCCTTTTGTGTACCGTGGTGACTATGATGTATAGTTGTATATTATTATTTTTTATAACTTCTTATTGTGAAGTTTTATAATTTAGGTTTGCTCTTCTTTATGACTTTCTATCATGTAATATCAGTGTTTCTTGCTGCAACTTATCAACTCATCTCAAAGTGAGAGGCCATCGAACATCAGTTCGTCTATGATGAAAACTTTCCAGCGGGGTCTTTTGAGTCAAAGGTCCTTGCTTTTGTTATTAGTTTTTCCTGCTACACAAGCCTTTCTTTCTTTTGCACATATGAAAAGATTAACATTGCATCTCATATCTGATATCGGGGTTTTCCAATTTCTGTTTGTACAGGGATAGAGAAGCTCCAAGATTAACTGACAGTGGTTTCCAGTTCTTGGTATGCAAACCGCTTCAACTGCTTGCACGCAGCATGTTTGATTTCTCTTAATTCTTACTCGAAATTATTTCTGATATGTGAATACCACAGTTGATGGATACAAACGCGCAACTCTGGTACATCATCAGAGAGTACATCTCTAACTCGGAGGTATGGATTCATTACATTATTAGTTGTAGGTTCCTTTCCAGACCATTAACCTGATATTTTTTGCTTGTCATTACTCTATACTCTGAAGTCAGAGCTTCTATTACGGTTCCAAGTATTTTATCAAGTACTAGAAAAGGAAAATGTGGAACTGATTTATGATCAAATGTTGCAGAACGGTTTGAAGGTTTTTCTTTCTGGGGCTTAATGATTCATATTGTCAACCAAATCTTTTTAGCGTTTTTATATTATTGTGTGTGTGTGTTCCTATGGTTTAACTTATCAAGGGAATTTAATTATAACCATTTGGGCAAACGAAATAAGGAAAATTTTACCTAATGTGTTTCCTTGAGGACTCGAGTTAGAAGTTGAAAGTACAATGTGACTATGTTGTTTGTGATGTTGACCATTATCATACACTAAGTTATTGAGATGAAAATGATAAGAAAGTGCAACTTAAGTTTTTCTTCTCAGTAGCTGTGTTCAAGAGTTTTATCTTATATCTCATCTCTCCTCAATTTTATTTGTTGCAGGAGCGTGGGCTAGATTCTGCAGATTTGATTTCTTTCCTGCTAGAACTTAGTTTTCATGTTACAGGCGAGGTATTGGTTATATGCCTTTGTATACATGACTATTCTTTTGCAGTAGCATGTGCTTTATTGAATTTCCCCATATTTTCTTAGGAAAACTAATGAAAAGGGCTTGAAAACTTTGAGTTTTAATGATAAGGACAAAATAAAGGGTAAAGTGAATAGTACCAGGATTGACTTTTTAGTGTATAAATGTGGTTTTTCGTTAAAGTGAACAGTACCGGGTGCTTTTCGTTAAAGTTCCCTATTTTCTTTTGTGGCTAATATTTTTTTTTTCCAATTGAAACATAAATAGTGTTGCAGTAAATGCTGCCATAAGAACTTTTGATAGAATTCAATTCATTATCTTTTTGTAGAAAGCGTTTCCTTCCACATGGGAAGTTTGTACCTGGAATTTTTCTCTCAACTCTTGATTCTATTTTTTTTATTTTGTGTGCAAGGCATATAACATAAATACATTGAATGAGAGGCAGAAGAATATAATCAAGGATCTTGCAGATTTGGGACTGATCAAACTTCAGCAGGTTATACTTTTCTGATTTATTCTTGGTTGTACATGTGCTGATAATTTCCCAGATGATAGTTTAACCATATCCTAACATCAAGTTTAATTTGCTGCCTTTTTGTGTACTTATCCAGGGAAGGAAAGACAGTTGGTTTATACCTACTGAATTAGCTACTAATCTATCAGTTAGCTTGACAGACTCATCATCGAGGAAACAGGTATGTTATTTGTACTCATGCTAGCTTTGTCGCAAATTGGTTATTCTGCAACTGATTCTCTATCATCAAGAAAACTGGAGTGCATTCCATGGCTATACATGCTACTTACGAATTGTTTACTTGATTTTTGTTCAGGGATTTGTTGTTGTGGAAACAAACTTCAGACTCTATGCCTACTCAACATCTAAATTACATTGTGAAATTTTACGTCTTTTCTCAAGGTATATGTTGACCAATTGGTCGATCAACTGCCTTGTACAGTTTGCAGTTTCTGTTTTCTTTTAGTCATGAGACACATGAAATAATTATTGCATGCTGTTTGAATATCCTTTTAATTATGGCCTAGAAATTGTTGAAAGCACAAAGAGATGCATATAAGAAAGATGGTAGAAGAAAATCAAGCTGAAGGCTTATAAATGCATTTTTGGATCTCCTGCCTCTGAATTTTCTCGTCCTAGGGTCAGGGGGGAGAGTTAGCATTTAGCTACAGTGGGGGTGTCATTGTTTTGGTTGTGTTGGTATACAATACTTCTTGTTCTTTTTAATTTCTGAGCTAAGTTTTTATTAAAATTCTTACTAAAATTTTCTTTTTCTACTCTGTGCAGGGTAGAATATCAACTTCCAAACCTTATCGTTGGAGCAATAACAAAAGAAAGTTTATATAGTGCTTTTGAAAATGGCATCACTGGAGAACAGGCAAATATTTTCTTTTTGTTACTCTACTTTTAGTTTTTCAGTATAAGTCTTAAGTAATTTTGGCTATACTTAGTCCTCCTCAAGCTGTCTGAGAGTCGTGGGAAAACGATGGTATACTTAGTTGAGATAACTGCCGCAATTCTTGTACAACAAATGAGTAGAAAGATACAGCCTTTCTAGGGATGTTTTGCTTCACAAGCTTAAAAATTAAGATGTTCTTCTTCAGTAGTCTTTCTTGGCTTTTTCTCCGTCTAGCCCTTATGCTTCTTTATGCAGTAGATTTTTAGATGACCTTCATTTTAGTTGCTATTTTTTCTCTACAGTTTAGGGTTTTTCAGTTCTTGGTTTACTGAGCGTATATCCCCGTGTGCTTATGGAAAAGGCTTCAAGTGCTAGTACCTATCTTTCTGTATGCACACACGCACATCCTCCCAAGTCACATGGGAGAAAGGGTTGCTGAAACTGTTTCTGGAATGTTGGAAGTCTAATATTTTTTTATATATTTTTTTTGGCAGATAATTTCTTTTCTTCAGCAGAATGCACATCCACGCGTTGCAGAGAGAGTACCATCCGTACCTGAGAATGTCACAGATCAGGTCTGATCCTTCTCTATCTTCATATTTGAATTCAGCAAAATATTTGAGAGTTCAATTTGCTTGACTCCGATGGAGAAAAAAATGTCCAATATCAAGCTCATCTATGCTCTTCTATAAAATTAAATATAACAGAGTTCTTTGAATTGGATAGTTTTTATTATGTTATGTTGTAAGCGACTTCCATGCATGTTGGTATTCTGACGTTTTCAAATTCACTCGTATCTGGCAGATTAGGCTGTGGGAAACAGATCTGAATAGGGTTGAGATGACTCCAGCTTATTATTACGATGAATTTCCAACGAGGGTGACAATCCGCTTTCCAAAATTGATGCGTGTATATTGTTTTTCGTTGTTATCATTTTTCTAAGATCTTTCCTTTATAACTGCCAGGAACTCCTCGAGGGTGCGTCTGACTTTGCGCGAGGCTATAATGCTCTGCTGTGGGAGGATGTAAATTCGAAAAAGATGCGTTTAGTGGTCAAGGCAGAAAACCACGTGCACATGCGAGAATATCTTGGACGTCAAAGGCAGTAAGAGGCTGTTATCGGTTAACAAATTCCGGCAAAGCTCGCAGCTGCGGAAAATGCTCGGTCTAAGATCCTTGGAGCTGTTACATATAAAAGTTTTGTTCTTATAGCTGGAATTGCTTGCAAAGTCATAACTCTTTGGGAGTTTTAACTTTGCATGGCAACCGCAGTGGAAAATTGCAGGATCAATGCAATTTTCTGCGCATATCTTGGCTGTATATATCTACACACTACGATATGGAATATGCAATTTTGAAATTGCAATGTGCAAAATCGAGCTGGATTTAGACTGGTTGACATGATTTTACGAACCGTCGTGTTCGGTTTTGGAATTGGAGCTTGTACCAAAGGATATTAACGGTTGCTTATTAAAACTTTGGTAGAATTATCTTCATCGAAAGCGATTGTTTGAAGAAATTTTGAAATTTTATTCGTTCACTGTTAGTTTGATAATTATTTCGTTTATGGGTTTTATTGCTGTAGATAGAGAAGAAGAATAATGGTCGAAAGAATTTTAAGTTATTATATTTAATTAAAATTTAGTAACGGAATGGTTATTACTTTTATTTCTTTCATCAAGTTGGTATTTTGTGTTTTTAATCCTATCCTTTTTTGTTTGTTTTTTAATAAAGGAAAATGAAAAATAAATTCAAATTAGCAAGGGAAAGAAAAATATAAAAAATTGAAAGCATAAATGAGGAATATAAATATAAAAAAAAATGAAGGCCTGTTGCTGCCCAGGATCGAACTGGAGACCTTTAGTGTGTAAGACTAACGTGATAACCACTACACCACAGCAACTTGTTGATTAGATGTCCGATATTTACAAATATTGTACCAAACTGACAGACCGCAAACTAGCCAAATTGACCTGTGCTACCCGACACTTGAAAAATGATGAAGCCATAAAGTGATGGTGATGTCGAAAGTGTGAGTAGATTAAAACCTAAGGTAACTAATACTAAAATACGCACATGAGCAAGGTTACCGATTATTTTCCTTAGAATTACTTTATTCTTGCCACCTCAAGTTAAACATTTGGATCTTGCTATCCACACACCATTTTTGACCTTTCACACACCTCATGATAATTTCTGTAATTTGATCATTTTTAGTTCATTCAATATGATGGCCAAAAATTGAGAGAGGTGTGTGAAAGACAAAAAAAGGTGTGCGGATATCACCCCAAACATGATAACGTGTGGGATTGGAATAGACCAACATATCAGTATCACAGGACAAAATCTACTCACAAAAATCTTAGTAAAAAGACACATTACTCACTTTCTTAGAAATTTCCTACTCGGCACTTCTCGCCAATTGTCTTGAACAGAATTCAAGTGGTACCGCTATCCCTTAATCATTAAGAAGAATTTAGGAACTAAAAACATCGAACTTAAACGTTGCATGCTTCGAGTTTTTTACTTTGAAGCGGTTTTGTTTGTTGGAAAGCGTTTTCAGGCATTTCAGAAGCGGTCTTGAACAAGGGATTGAGGTTTAATTGTAAACTTTAATTTGGAGTTCTTACTTTGTCCAAGTTGAAAAGCTTTGGTAGTCACTAGCTAGCTACTACAATGGCGGCAACAATTGCAAGAATCTGCCTGCAGTCACTGCTGAAAGCTATGAACTCACTTTTGGGAATGGTTGGAATTGCAATGATTATGTATGGCCTTTGGATGCTTAGAGTTTGGCTGAGGGACTCTGACGGTTCGCCCCTTGACCATCATAGTGCTGTTCCTCCATGGTAAGCACTCTCTTGATAGTTGATACCGTGTCGATATGAATCTCGTACAACTACAGTTTAGTCGGATCCCCCTTACGAAGGGTTATGTATATTAATGGTAGTAATTGTTTATGTTGGAGAAAATGATATCGATACATTATAAATGATTGATCAATAGTCCGTTCATATACATAATGGACGTATGGTCCATAGCCAGACTACTTTTTATTTTATCAATTGTAGTTATCATTTACCATTTTCATCCCTCTCTTGAAATTGTAGGTTTATATGCACTTCTCTTGGCGCCGGTTTTACCGTGTGCATAATAACATGTATAGGTCACGTTGCTGCAAAGTTTACGCATGGCTGTTGCCTCTCTTTTGTATCCTTTTCTGGTTTTGTACATAGGTGTTGCAAGCTCGAATTTATCTTATGTTCAAGAGATTCTAACCTGTAACAGGGGTATATTGCCTTATTAGTATTTTTGTGTCGAGTGACACGGGAGATACTTATGGGGACGTATACACCCGGTTGTACTGAAGAAACACCTTTCATGTTGACCTTGAACAAGTTCTAGTATATGTTGATCATGTTTTTGCTGCTTCTATTGGAGTTTGCAGCGGCTGCAGATATACTTTTAAATTCAGACTGGGAAAAGGTAAACCATAGTCCTCGTTTTCGCAGATGTGAGTTAAGCCAGTTGGCCAAGGCAGTGTGCCTGCCTTTTCACCCAGTGTTGAACCCTCTTTTCTGCATGCTAAAGTAGTTTAGAATATCGCCTTGTTTTTGCTTGGACTTAATTGTTCTTCATTTTTCAGGATTTACCATATGACCGGACAGGAAAGTTCAGTGATTTCAAAGATTTTGTCGAGTCGAAATTGGACATATTTCAGTGGATAGGCTTGTTCATCGTCTTAGCACAGGTGGTTTTAAGTGTTTGATGCTTTTTCTAACAATAACAACCCGTGTTCTGAAAACGCATTTAAAGTTTAAACCCATCTGGTTAAAGTTTAGGGTTTTCACAAACTATGGTCTATAGTCGAAACTGCTTAAATCTCTCTTTCGAATGAGAAACTCTGGACCCAACTGTTATTGCACCGAATGTTATTTCAGTATAGGCGAGGGTCTTTTCTTCCTATAATTTGATTCTATAAGTGTTTCCGACTAACATTATCAGCTGTCATGGGGACTAAAGTAGATAATCTGCAGGGTTTATCAATCGTACTAGCCACAGCTCTAAGGTCTGCAGGGCCAAACCAAAGATCCAGCTACGATAGCGATGAAGAGTGTCCCCCGGAGAGACTCCCGCTCATAAATCCTAATGGTCAACCTGCCAAGAACAGTAACTGGAATGTAAGAATTCACTCCTAAACCTGCAATCTCACTGCTTCAGTTTCTTTTATTTTACGACATTTTCTTCTTTCTATGGATTTGACATTTGATGCATCACTTTCTGTTTCTCTTTCTCAGTCAATCAAGTGAAGAGAGCAAAGATACTAGAGCTCTATGACAGTATGGAGTTGGCAGTTAACCTAGTACCGTCTGATACTGGTTGACATAGTACCGATGATACCACTCACTGTCACCAGATGCTTGGGGGAGAAGAAACTTAAGTCTTGTTGCCGTGTCCTTTGTCTTTGGTTCCATATTTTGGTTCTTAGAATCCATATGTATAGTCATGTTGTTTTCCTACCTTGGTTTACTTCTTTTGGTTTAACAATGTCTCGACTTTTGCTAGCATAAGCGGCCCAGATGAGGGTGGATGGCCGATTGACCATAGCATACCTCGAATCTCTTTCCATCTTTTCGATATATAAAAATAGGGTTCATAGCTTAAACAAAATGTTTTATTTTTTTATTTTTTCCAATTGCTAATTAATGAATAAATATAACTTCCTTTTCTTCGGTCTATACAACAGTAAAACGGATAACCCTACAAACAATCGAAAGTAAAAGAACGAATAACCCTTTTAAGAACCAGTATAGGATACAAAAAAATGGAACAAAATAGTGCAGGAGAGAGAATCTTTTCAGATTTTGTTGCCTTTCTCTTCATTCGACTAGAGGTCGCACTTGGTGCGATGGCAAGTGCCTTCGCCCATGAGCGGTAGGTCTCGGGTTCGAGACTTGGGAGCAGCCTCTCCATAAATGGGGGTAAGGCTAGCCGACATTCACCTCTCCCAGACCCTGCGTAAAGCGGGAGCCTTGTGCACTGGGTACGACCTTTTTTTCTCTTCATTCGACTGAACGGTCCAACAGTTCGATCTGCTATGTACATGTAGATCACTTGGCTCCAAGATTTATATGACTCCAAACCCCCGTAGTATTCCGGTGCAATGTCCTTCACCTTATGAAGCTTGCTCGCGGGAATTCTGGGGAAATCATGGTGCTCGTTGTGGTAGCCTACATGCCAAGCTAGGAGATTGAGAGGGCCGTAGTAAGAATACGTCTCCTGATCAGGGTTAAAGACATAATGCTCCGAAATGAAGTGACCCGCCATTGGGTGCATCCCACCGCCGACAAATGTAGAGAGGATCAAGTAAGCAAAAGATTTCCAGCCGTAAAAGTAGACCATGGCAACGTCAAGGGCTATCTGAATGAAAAGGTTGAGGAACTCCCAATAACCAGGGGGTTTCGGTTTGAGAAACACAGGCCGAAGGACATAGAAGAAGAGTTGAAGGAGAAGCCATATGGATTTCGTGACCACATTAGTCACCACATGGCTTGCTTGGGATGTCCATATCAATTCCGTCTACTCCCTGGAAGCCATGGTGCTCAAGGTGATATTTTTTAAAGGTGACAGACACGGGAACACCAATCGGGAGGTTAGCAAAAATACTGAGCCAGCGGTTGTAGACTGGAGTGGAGAAGGCGAGATTGTGACTGAGCTCATGGATGGCCAAGAAGAGGTTGTGGTTGAGAAACGAGCCAAAGAAGTAGGCCATCCCTAGCATCTTCAGCCAGCCTGCATTGTGGAGCCGTTGCAGTCCAGAGCTGAAGCAAAGACAACCACAGTAATCTGCACCATGATTTCATTTCAAGGTCATTAAACAAAATCAAAATATAGTTAACGGAGACATCTACGTTTCAGTTCATCTCAAACTAGAACACTAATATTCCAATTTCTACATCGACAAAACTCTGCGAAATTCACCTGTTGAACCTAAACCAGTACAATAGAAAGCATGAATTCGAATCACACGAAAAAGCACAAATGAGATATCAAGTGAGGAAGCATAAGTTCGCAAGAGCAGCATGCGCAATTTGTTCATGACATCTTAAAACACCATATTTCGCTGCGTAAACAGGACATTTAGTGCAGAAAGCTCAAAACTTTGGCTCCCAAAACTATCTGCGAAAACTAACATTTAATGCAAAAAACATGGCCACTTCGCGTCCGAAATTCGCAACATAATTCAGAAAAGCGGAAAGCTTTCAATACCCAATTGTAGAAACAAATCAAAAATCGTATCCGCACCATGTTCTTGGAATCACCAACATTGTCACTGTCACAGATAAAACCAACGGATAAAAACAAACACAAACAGGCAAAACAAAGAAAACCCAACAAAAATGGCGGATTGAATTTCTGGAAAGCCAAAGTGTGGAGTGAGATACTTTGAGGAAAGCCCAGGGGTCGGGACCAAGGAGCTCCTTAATCTGAGGGTACTGAGAGAGGATCTGACGGCGCCTAGAAGCGTGAGGCTCATCCGTGTAGGACCAGAAGAAGTCTGTAGCCATCACTCCCTCCTCTTCTGTTGCCTCTCTCTCTCTCCCCCTCTTCCCATCTCTCTCTCCTCCTCTCTCTCTAAAGACCCTTTCTTTTCCTTCCCTCTTCCTTCCTGGCTTCCTCTCTCTCTCTGTCTAACATTTATGTTTGTTTTTCGTTTCCTGGTTCACTTCGAATCTGAGTTGTTCTTTCTATTTGTGGCATGAGTGGACTTCTTTGGCAACCAAAAGTACGTGTCCTTTTTTTTTTTTTTTTTTTTTTTTGGAACAAGGAATTTGCATTCCAAGGCCGAAGCCAAAAGGTACAAGAAAGCCTACAAGGAGGCAAACACCCAGCAAGGCACAACTAAGAGAACAGCGATGAAGAGCATACAAGCAAAGACGCATTAACCAAGTTTAGCATCGCCACCACCTCTCAATGAGGACATGGGAAACCATCCTTATTCAAAACATGAACCATCGAAGATGGCGGCCGGTCGACCCAAACACAGTCCCATATCTCCGAAAAACCAACCGACGCAAGGCAATGCGCCGTCAGATTGGCTGATCTTGGCACCCAAGACCAGCAACAATTCTGGAAAGCTCCACTCAGCCGCTTGACCCGAACCAAAGTAGGGAAAGCCTCCCAACTGCCCTTATCAAGAGAACCCGCAAGATAAGAGATAGATTCAAGAGAATCTTATTTTAGTTACGTATTTCTCTTTATCTATATGACAAAGGACACAAAACCCATGTAACTGTAAGTTAACAATTCTTCTTGTATTAGAATTGTTGCATAACAAAAAGAAAACAGTAATGTTAGCGAAAACAAATTTTTTAAATTAAATATGCAAATCAAATAATATGGTTGTAGATGATTGAATTATTAATTAAGTGTTGATTAATTTATTTTTTTATTGCTGACACATTATTTAGTTTGCAATTTGATTAAAAAAATTGAATCTCCTTAACATTATCCAAAAGAAAATTACATGTCAAGCCGGCTGACTACGTGGTATGCTCGACTATTCGATATTGAGTAATTGATCGGCATGTCATTATGTTATTGGCTATTAATTAGTTGTTTGTACTATTAATACTCAAATCATGTAGTTGTTGATTTGCTCGCTAGTGAAAGTCTAGGCAAAAACCACTTAGGTTATCTCCAACCGAATGAATGTAAAAGGGTTCCCTTTAGCTTTATAGCTTTGCAAAGAATTATATTTTAATGAACAGTGTTAAACCATATTTTATATCATCTCCAACCGAGGAGATCAAAGGGTCATAGGCCAAACATAGCCATTTGACATAAATCATCTCCAACCGAGGGGCCAAAGAGCCATAGACGAAATATAATTTATTATTTTAATTAAATTAAACTACCATATTAAAATAAGGTTTTTGAACATATTTTGGATGACACTTGTCGCCAAATGAATAAGCCTCCGGATTTCTTATATTTATATAATCTCAATAATTTTTTAGATAGGATTTCAAGTAACATGTGTCATTAATATGAGTAACTCTCAAGATTTCTTATCTTTATGTAATCTCAATAATTTTTCCGGATAGGATTTCGTGTGACATGTGTTGCTAATTTTTGATATGATTCTTATCTACGTAACACTTCTTATCAACATGGGATTTCGAGTGCCTTATGTCAAGATGTAATTGGTTTTGCAAATTTTTTATATGATTCTGTTTGGACCCATTTTTACAATAGCGGCCCGAGCAACCAAGGCCGTCGGATGAGCAAGGTTTTAGGCCATTGAACGACAAAGTGGTTGAAATAAATTATGATTGAGATAATGTTGGGATTTTAATCATAATTTATTAAACCTAGTTTTTATCTAAAACCCCAATTTGTTCGTAGGATGGTGGGGCATTAAGCCATTTATAAAGAATCCTAATGCATTATTGCATTATTAGTGAATGTTTATGGATTGGTATAGATTTTTGCGCATGCATAAAGATAAGGATGCCAAGCTGCATGCTTGGCGTTGGTTAGCCGTACATGCATATTATAGGCATATTTCAAGGCGGGAAGTTTATCGGCAGAAAGGGATATGATCCTTGGCTAAGGGATATGAGATATAATTTACAACCAGATGCAACTCCACAAGACAGAATCCAATTAGGACTCTCCAAGAGTATCAAGTTGTGCCAAGCAGAGGGGTGTAACTTTCACTATAAGTAGAGAGGGTTGCGCACCATTCAAAGGCCCCTGCAAATCAATACAAAACTGCCATGCGCAAACTCAACAACTTGAGATTTTTTCTTTCTTTTTCGCTGACACATCTTCCGTTGGCATCAACAACACTGTGGAAGCAACCGGTGATATCTTAAGTCGGCATAGATAGCTCTGTCACAGTAGAATCAGCCGGTCTCGCAGCATCTTCCGTTGGCATCAACAGCACTGCGGCGAGGACGGTTGATTACCTATCCAAGTCTCGGTCGAGAAGGATTTCCGAATCCTTATTGGTCGAGGTCATCTCATCAGCCTTCTCGGCAAAGTGAGGTGTTACAGTTATTACATTCGGCACATTGAGAGCTGAATTTGATATTGAACTTCGTAAGAATAGTAACCTTGTCTTCAGGTTCGAGAGCCCAAAAGGCCGAGACGCGTTCCTTTCTCGGCCGCAATCGCAAGACGCAGAAGTCAGCCGCGCACCCAACGCGATATCAGCAAAATTTACTCCTCGGCCGAGCTCGGCCGACGAGTTGGCACGCCCCGCATTCACCGAAAGACGTAGTTAGCTTATAGATTACTTGGCCTGCGCGCCACGTAGGCTTGGTAGTTTCTAGGGCCAACAGATTCTTATCTACATGACACTTTTTATTTTCAAATTTCAATGTTGTAGGAATGGTGTAAGTACTTATAGGAAACAAAATTAGATTTTTTTTTTAAAATCGTCCAAAAAAAAAAAGCAAATTCCCACGGTAACCTAACAGCAGCTAGCTACACCAAGTAACCATTGGCATTCAAATGAGCTGCGCTGAAGGAATGGCAAAATGTCAACCTGGACATTTTGGAGGGTTGGCAAAATGTCAAGCTTGACATTCTGGAGGGTTGGCTGAAATGACCAGCCAACTGGCCTGATTTAGGGGTTTGGGCCTGGTGAGGCCCACAAGCCCTTTGGCTTAGCCCTAGGTTGGAGACGATTTTCGTGTCATTTCGAGCTATTTTTAGCTGTATGACCCTTTAGCCAAGTTGGTTAGACATGACCTTAATGTGACAATATGTTATTAGCTGATTACATGTCAATTTGCAAGGTAGCCTAGTCCAATTTTTTTTGGCAATGTAGACATGCCGTATAAGTCCTTCACCCTTTCAGGTAACCTCATACATGGTCAATCACTCGTACTTGCCAAGTTGGCATAAGAAGGTCCCACATATGCACCCAGGATAAGGATGGTCTACCCTTCCACTTTCCGTGCCCTCCTGTTTTGTGTGATCACGGTTAAGCCACGTTACCATTTTATATTGTTTTTTTTTATAGAGATAATAAGACAAAAATAAATAGTAATATAAAATGTTGACGTGGCTTAATAGTGACCACACAAACAGAAGGGCACGGGAAGGTACGGTAAGTGGGAGAGCAAAAAATCCTTGTCCTTTGAAATCAACAAGATCCTCTCCGAATCTTTTTGGTGAGGATCTTAGAGATCCGTAAATCGTGTATATTCATTGTGCATTGTCCGATCAGTTTTTATTATTGTTTATATTTAATTTTAAATAAAAATATTTAAAATAATTTCTATCTGCACAATATACAATGAACAGATATGATTCACGAATTCTCGGATCCTCACAAAAGGATCCGGATTCCATTTGGAATATGCTTCTATAGAAAATACTTCTGTCTATTGAAGATGGGCACTTATCCAAAAAGCACAAAAGAGTCACTCTCTAGTTGTTTCGGACAATCACGTCTAAATCGCTTCTAATTATATGAAAATGCATTTTCAATCATTTCAAAAACATAACCTAATGAGTATATGCTAATGAAAAAAGGAAAATTGAAAAGACAGATAAGCTCATATGTGCCCACGAAAGAACAAAGTCTATTAGTTCAGTTGTCCATTATTTCAGGAACAATGAACACAGTTGAAGCCCATCCATCTTCAAAGTTTTGGTTTGTATATCGGTTGCAACTTAGCACGAAGAAACATAATCTGTGTCTTTCATCAACCAGAAATTCTCACCTCATTGCGTTCGCCCATCCCTCCGCTTCGAAACAGTTCCTCCGTCCGAACCCACTCAATTCGAAACAAGGAGAGGACTTGTATGTAAAAAAACTAAGCTAACTTCAAAGCTGTACAAGCATGTACAAATGCACTACATACAATTTATAGACTCCTCAACTTCACCCGCCAGCCAACAATAACTCAGGCCGGGTCTTCTGAACAGAAGTGGGACGATACCGACCTACTTACACCTGCCGAATGGATTTTCGGTCCTTATGCAATCAAAAGAAAAGAAACTAGTTCATTAAATTGCAACGGGAGACTGGTTTTTGGACCCCATCGATCACCTTAAGTGGGAATCATACGAGTCAAAAGGGTTATCCGGTGTAACAAGGGGCAACTTATCTATATACATGAAAAGCCTCCTGAGATTCTCCTTCATCACTGTTTCCATGTCGACTATGTCCCTGCTGTCGGTGTATACCCAGAGATCGCCCGAGTTCACTCTTTTAAGATTGTCACGACAGAAAGGGCACGATTGAGATCTTGTACGCCTGCCAATGTGTCAACAGAGCATTAGTTTCATTCATATTCATGTCGACACAGAAATGTACATGGAAACATCTTTTGCTAAAGATTAAAGTACATACGAATTCCAATTAAAATATAATTACATTTATCTATCCAAAAGCTCATATTTCTACGCTTCACAACTCCTTAATGACATGATTAAAAGGGAAAATATAGTATTTGAATCAAAATATCTAACGACTATACAGTGTACAACAAAGCAAATACCTATCTGGTCAGCAAACAAATCAAATTAAGAGTACATGCTAGAACCACAGAAAAATATACCATATAGAGTTTAGGATTTAGGTGACAACAACTGCCTGAACTTTCAATGGCAAACCCGCGGTACAAGGTTTCTCATTCTTTTTCAAATCAAATGCTAATAAAACAACCAAGATGAGTGTAAGCGAATCTTAACAAACAACGAGGTCTAGAGCAACAGCGAGAGGTCTAGAAAAGTTCTTATCCCACACAGACAGGAAAATAGTTGGGGAGATACTTCTGCAAATTATCTACTGAGCCTAGAAGCCGCAAGTCTACACTACAATCATTTCCACGTTCAATTTCCAATTACCATAACTTAATACCACTATGCTCATGATGCCGTAGCTCAAAGTGCATTTCAAATTTGGGCAAAGTTAGGTATGCATTGCATCACATACGATTTAAGATTAGGAACACTTATTTTCATTAACCTTAGCTCATTCGCACCCCTTTTTAATATGAATGCAGGGTTCGAAGTGTTATCAACTATTTGATACAGAAAGCAACATAATGTCTGAGCAAGACAGAAAACATAAATCTTCGAAAAAAAAGTACCAGAAATAAAGAGAAGCAGGTGAACTTTAACGTTTAAATAAGTTCAGAGGGAGAGAGAGTACCAATCACGGTAACATTTCAGGCACAAAACATGGTTGCAGTTAGGCAGTACAATTTTACTATTTGTCTCCATGCATATACCGCATTCCTCTTCTCTTTCAATGTCTATATCTGACCACTTTCGACCTTCTTCATCATCTCTTTTGCGATATCTTTCCATGCATACTGCTTTCTGCCTTTTATCTTCACTATCAGTGACACCTCCTTGAAGTTGCAATAAAGAGGGATAAATAACAGCTGTCCAAGAAATGAGGCATCAGTAGGAAAATAAACCCTTTACCCGCTCAACAAGAACCAAAAGTCAATGTTGTGAGATCATAAATTTACCATAGAACTCTCTGATGCTTGCTTTCCTTTCCTTGGTAGACATGGTGGTCGAGCCATCCACATAAACCTGTAGCGTAAGCGAAAATGCAATGGTCACCCACATCCATGATTGGAATCTAACTCAACAAAAAAAAGAAACTATTCAAGCGACAAGCTTCAACCTTGTAAATTAAAATTCTTAACAGCCCGAGGGCTCCCGCAAGGTTGCAGTCAGTCCATTGCACCAGAAAAAGGAAGAGATGAGCGGCTGGACTGTACGACATTCTCATCTGAAGACAAGCACCATCATACTCCCTCGGAAAATCTGAGGCCCTGCACCTCACATTTCCCACATAAGGATTTGAACAGAAACCGAAACTAATTATCGGATTAAACTACCAAAATCACTGAATTTATCAACAATTCATAAAAGACATCAATCCAACTAGTCTCTCTCGATAAAACCATCTTTCGAATCGAGCTAATCATTGCAGCATTCTATTAAAAATTATGACTAAGCGCGTTTTTCCCAGTGTAACCACCCAAGTTCTCAAAACAATGTAAAACACGAAAAACTGCACATAGTTAAGACAATCGCACCGTAACATATCTGGTGCATCCAAAACAATGAGACTAAAACGCTACATTCCAAGAACAATGGACACATAATTTAAAAAAAAAAAATTATGAACAAGAAATTAAAAACACCACCAGCAGGTGGAATCCATTGGCCACGTAAACCCATTTAATCCCTGACAATTTTGGTTTGGTTGCTCCCTCAAATTTCATCAAGATAACGTTAATGCACAAATAAATATCTGCTTAAACAATTAAACAATTGCTTTCCCAGAATCATACTGTCAGTGTACAATAATTCTTAGCTATTTATTTATTAATTTTTATGATCTTTAAGCTGCACAATAACCAAAAATAAATTGACAACCCAGAAGAAAATAAATCAAAACAAACCAAGCTGAAATGTAAAAAATCTTACATTTCCAACATGAAATATAAATAAAAATGGAGCTAAAGTTTACACCTTTATCACCAGAATTCAAGCAGAATATTTACAAAATAAATACTATTCAACAAAAGAAACAATTTTTTCAGAAGAACCCATCAAATTAAAAGAGCAGATGATCGCTTACAGAGTATTTGCATGCTGAATATCAGCTTCAAGAACTTTCAGAGAGTCCTTGAACGACTTTCGCATTGAAGCTATATACATCTCCAAGTCTTACAAAATTTATAAAAAAAAAAACTAAAAACTAAAAAATGAAATAATCACAAACCCAAAGAGAAAGAAAAATGTTCAATCAGCCCCTCCAAGAACCCTGATTTTTTTTCTTCCCACTCCTCCACTACCCAAAATCCTCACTTTCTCTCTCTACACACTCTCTCTCTCTCTCTCTCTCGCCCTTTTCTTTTTCAGTCCCCCCAGACACCGTGTTGCTTCTATGCTGGTGAAAGCGATGACGAGACGTTGCCTCGACACGTGTCCCCCAAACTGAAATATAACTCAAATATACTAATATAAAGAATAATTAATTAATTCGTTTTGGGAAAATAAAATTTAAAAAAAAAAGAAGAGGAGCGTCGAAAAAGAGGCGTACGGATTCACGGGGGTTATCCACTCTCTTTGGGTTGTGTGTCTGCCACTTTTCCTGTTTCCTTTCTTTTCGTTCGTTAGCTTTCCCTCCACGCACCGATGCCATGATCGTTTCACCCGCCATCTCCTCTTACCTTTTTTGCCCCTCCAACTTCCATCTATTTTCTTCGAAATCACCTTTTCTTTAACTTACTTTTTTTTTTTTTTTTTTTTTTTTTTTTTTGAAAAACGATCGTGGGATTATATTTTTAAACAATTTTTGTAGATCATATGATGTGGCGATTGTCATAGTCATGTATTGTTAGTGCACGTGTGATTCGAGTCACTAAGGAATTTTTTTCGGAAACCATTGCAGATTTCGAACTTTTTATTTTTTATTTTTAAGAAATTTTTTTCTAATTTCGACTAAATTTGAATAAGTTGATATTCTTATTCCATTGCAAATTTCCATAATTTTCGTTGAAAACAACTGATATTGATGTAGATATTGATATATCCATAGATATTTTTTCTTTAATTTTTTTTCATAAAACATCTTCAAAAGTTAGACATAACATAAATCATTAAGATATCTAGTTCTGGAAACCAAAAAAACAATACATGATGATTTTAGAGATACCCTAAAATAGTAGATTGTTTAAATCGTTAAAATACAAAATAAAATGGAACATACAACTATAAGAGTATCTGCCAAATATTTTTCTAAAAATCTGTTAATAGAAGATAACAGTTATTAAAACCGTGCAATTATTCATGTTCCAAGTTCCAAGTTCCAACAAAGTGACAAATGGATAATCAGATAACATAATTAGCATCAATGCTGCTAATTGAAGTTTTAATTTGCATTATGGCTTTTGGTTGTTGCTTTATTGAGATATCATTGCAATGGTAATAAAATTGTGAGGACTCCTTAAAAAATGAGACTCCCGCCAACATATTTTCTTGTCACAATCCCTATGTCAACAAATGAGGTGACGGAGCGTCCACGGAGATTTCTCAACACTATCATTGCATTCGGATTGGAAGATCCTTATATTTTCAAGACATTTACGACAAAAATCTTACCTCCACTCAAGTTCAAGACACTAGCTAACTAACATTTGGATTGGTTTATCCATATACTCTTTTTTATCTCTCACATACCCTTCTCAATTTTCGATCATTGCATCAAATAAATTAAAAAAATATCAGATGACAAAAATTAACAAAAAGTGTGAAAAGTCAAAATAGGTATGTTGGTAACACCACCCTTTATATTAGTGGTATTTGTCTATTTAATTAGAGGAAACTTCGACTCTAATAAAATTGGCGGATTATGAACTGATGTAGGGCTTGAAACACCGTTATACAACTCAAGCTTATTAGTTTTGGTTGGATGATTTGTATTCTCACGCGGTATTAGGTTATTTGGGTTAGTGAGACTGTGAACATGTTCGTCTCAATAATTACGGACAAGGATTGTCTACCCTCCTAGTTGTGGTGCCCTTCCATGCCTTCTTATTTTGTGCGGTCACGGTTAAGTCACGTCAATATTTTATATTTTTTATTGTTTTTTGTCTTATTATCTCATTAAAAAATTAATATAAAATGTTGACGTGGCTTAACCGTAACCGCACAAAATAGGAGGGCATGGAAGGGCACCATAACTAGGAGGGCAGACAATCTTTGTCCAATAATTACACCTGCTCATACGTCATTTTAAAAATGAGATATGTGCCACGTGAAGTGACATGATGAGAGTATTCACATTCAATATGAAAGTTTTGCAATGAAAATGCTTAAATAATCTCAAGTCTTTCCAATACCATATCAATTAGTTTTGTGTTGAATGCTTAAAGTCGAAATTATAATATTACACATGGCATGAGCAGATTTTTATACAAATACAAGTTAAAGTTATTTGTTTGTAATAATTTTTACAAATAATTAACAAAATGTGAAGTGTACATAAAAGTTAGGGCAAAAGATTGTTTACTATCCTTATGTTTCGTGGTTTTCAACATTTAGTACATCAAGTTTTTTTCGTTCCAGAGTCATACCTAAAGTGTAAATTTTGAGACAGTCTCATACATCCGTTAGTCAAACTGTTAAGTTTGCCGTTAACAGTGACGTGGCACCCATGTGGACAATGACTGAGCGTCACGTGTCATCCACGTGGAAATTAAAAAATAAAAATAATATAAATATATATATATTATAAAATAATAAATAAATAAATTTTTTAAAAAAACGTTTTTTTTTTTTTTTTTTCTTCTTCCTTCTTCTTCTTCCTTCTTCTTCTTCTTCCTTCTTCTTCCTCTGAATCTGGGTAGCAGATTCGTTTCTTTTTTTTTTCTTTCTTTCTTTCTTCTTCCTCCTTCCTTCTCCTTCTTCCGAATCTGCCCAGATTCGGTTTTTTTTAAATTTTTTTAATTTTATAATATATATATATATTTTTTTATATATATTTTTTTTAATTTCCACGTTGATGACACATGGCGCTCTATCATTGGCCACATGGGCGCCACGTCACAGTTAACAGCAGACTTAACAGTTTAACTAACGGATGTATGAGACTGTCCCAAAATTTACACTTTAGGTATGACTCTGGGACGAAAAAAAATTGATGTACTAAATATTGAAAATCACGAAACATGAGAGTAGTAAACAATCTTTTGCCCTAAAAGTTAAAACAAGCAAGCAAATGAAATTTGCAAATGGCCAAGAAGTTAGGTGAAACGTACTAAGACGGGTGAAATGACAAAAGTGCCCACCACTATTCGTAAATTACAAAAATGCCCATATAGTTCAAGTGCATCGAATTACTGTGCACTCAGCTGAGCACTGCGAGAACTGATGAAGCTTAATTGTTGCCGTGCGATACAGCAGCACGGCCGTCCGTACGGTCCCTCCTCCTCCTCACAATTCCCAATGAAAACCCTAATTTCCCAATTCACTATCAATTGTTCGAATCCCCAATCTTCGCCATCGGCTTTCATTTTCCATTTTCCGTCACTTTCTAGGGAAAGCCAGAACTTTCTTCACTTTTCTCGCAGCAAATGGTCTTGCAATCCCGGAACCTTTAGATTCTCTTCCGTTGGAGCTAAGTGTGCTTCTGAATCGGCGAGTTACGGCGGCTGGGACGACTTCAGACTCGCCGGCGGCTCGGGTCCCTCTGGTGAGTCCAATCAGTTTCGTCAGTTTCTGAATTCTATAGGAATCGACGATAAGAAACATGTTTTCGTGTTTTTGTTAGGCCTTGTTTGTGCTTTCGCCATTTCTAGAGTTAGGGTTACTTCTATTGTGGTGTTTCCAGCTTCGATTTTAGTTTTCGCAATTGGGTTTTCGTTTGGATTTGTTCGTGGTGGAGGTGTTGGTGAAGTGAGGTTAATTGGAGATAAGAGAAGGGGAAAGGAAGAAAATTTAATTGATAAATCTGATAAATTGAGGAAATTGGTGGAAATTGTCGACGATTTCCATGTTAAAGTTGGTAATTTGAAGTATGATATACAAAAAGCTATTGATTGTAGAGAAATTACAGTTACTGATTTGGAAAGATATGTAAAGGTCATTGAAAGTATTGGTTCGTCGGTGTTGAATGCTAGGAATGTTGCTGATGGGTCTGTTGAGAACTTGGGGAAGTTCAGTGCTGAGTTAGCTGAGAGCAAAAAGGCGAGTAAAAGAAAGAAAGAGCCTGCTGAGATTGGATACGAGTTGTTCCAGTACATCGGAGGTTTATTTAACGACAAATTGGCTGATTCGAAGTCTGGTAGAGTGAAAAACAATGTTAAGCGAGAGACTACGGAGAAAGTGGTGGATGATCAATCTCAAGGGAACGGTTCAATGCCTCCTGTTAAAGGAGTGGTTCTTGGTTCTGTTCATTCTCAAGAAGTGTATAGTAAGTCTGGTTTCGATGAGGCTGGAAATGGAAGAACCAAAGTTGCTTTGGAAAATAATAAGATGAGTTCAGAGGAGGTGGACGGGGGTCCTAACAGATCTACAGCTAGAAAAGTGTTTAATTATCAGAATAATGGGTTGCAAAGCAATGGTCACGTGTCTATGAAGATGGATGCTAGTAATCACGCTGAAACGTGGGAATCCCCTGAAAGTGTCCTTGATTCTGTAGATTTCGGTGTCAGAACAAAACAGATGGACGATAAATCTAATGGGGTTTACAGGCCTTCTAATATCAGGGGAAAAAATGTGAATGGAACTTATGAGTTTCATAGTAGAGGAGAGAAAGTAAATCGCAAAGAAGATTCCCAGTTTTTTGATCACCTGCCTGGACATGAGAATGAACTACCTTCCCTTTCATCTTCGTTGGTTTCGGATGATATATTATTTGACAGGTATGTTACAGAAGCTAATGATCTTCTAAAACAAGCCAAGGAATTTATAAGGGTCAGACACAATGAAGAGCGTGCAGAGATTGTATTATACAGGTCAGCCAAATTACTGTCCAAAGCCATAGCTATGAAGCCCATGAGTTTATTGGCTGTGGGCCAGTTAGGCAACACTTGCCTTCTTCATGGAGAATTAAAATTAAGGATTAGTCGCGAGTTGAGAATGCACCTTTCGAGAAGTGACCCCTTATCGGTTGAGAAATGGATTAGAATGCAGGATAAAGTCACAAGTAAAGATGACATTGCATCGGTCCTCATTAATGTGTGTGAAGAGTGCGAGGAACTTCTTGTAGAAGCAGGCAGAAGGTATAGAATGGCGTTATCCATTGACGGGAATGATGTGAGAGCACTATACAATTGGGGTCTTGCTCTTACCTTCCGTGCACAGTTGATTGCTGATATTGGACCGGTAAGAACTTAACAAAACTTTGGGCATT